GCTGTCCTTTTTTGTTCATCAGTCTAGCTGTGGAGGATGTTGCTTCACTGGCCCAAGTTGGCACCATCATTGCGCTCTTCCCGGGTGAGGCAGATCAGTTGCCGGCTTCTGGATGGCCGCTCACGGCGGCTTGAAGGCTGCTCATGCTGGCTGCTGGCCACACACAGTAGTCCATGGCAACCCACTGCAGTAGGGGCTGCAGCCTACGCTGTACGGCAGCCCAGCTCCAGGTTGAGCTGTTGTTCAGCATCTTAGCTGTAGAGGGCAGTGTCACTGGCCCTCATACGTGGGTTCCGAACCAGGGCCCTCTGGCATCCCAAGCCAGCTCTTAACCAACACATCATTCGGCCGGCCCAATAAGCTCATTTTTAAAAGAGTGATGCCCCCTTCCCCCAATTCCCCAGCCCTGTTCCCATCCCCCCAATTCCCCAATTAAAAAAAAAATCTTAAAAACATAAATAAATAAATAAAAATAAAAGAGATATATGCACGCACACACACCCATATATACATATATTTGGAGTACTTCTTTCTTGGAGATACATACTGAAGTATGTATAGATGAAATGTCTGGAATTTGCTTTAAAATTCATTGGTGGGGGAAATGGGTATAGATGAAACAAAATTTATGAAATGTTGATCATGAAGCCAGGTGAGTACATGGGGTTCATTAGACTATTCTGTCTACTTCTGTGTATGTTTAAAAGGTAATAAAAATTAAAGGTAAATAAATGTGTGTGGTACAGAAAGGGCACTGCTCTTTCATCTTTGGCTTTGAAAGTACATATTCCTCATACTGTCTACTGATTGACTGTTACAGAAAGTATATGGGAGCCTGGAGAAGGGACCAATAAAGCAGTTGGTTTGGTGAGGGTCTGCAGTCCCCACTAAAAGACCACAATGCTAAGTATTTACTTTTGATATTGAAGCCCCAGGTTGCTCACCTATCCAGGCTATTTTTACTTTGTCTATGCCGGTGAACATTTTAAGGTTTTTGGATTTTCAAATGCTCAATATGATAAATGGAAGAAGGAAAAGGATCAGGTCAGAGGACAGAAGTATCTTATTTTAAAAGATCGTTGAAGATTACCAGAGTTTGAAAACAGTGTTGACAAATTCTTGCTATAAACATCTGTTAGGAAAGGACACAAAAGCTTGGGTAACTCTGATTTTGGTCTGGAAAGTCAAGCATACAGGAAGGTAAATATCTTCTTTGCTCCAGGAACTCATTTTGAAAATTTTTATTGTGTAAAGTTTTAAACATGTGAAATTAAAGAGAAGAATAAAAGGACTCACCATGCATCCATCACCCCGCGTTAGCAGTTCCCAGCTGCTAGCCGGTATACTTTCATATGCACTCTCACCCACCCAGAGTTTTTGGAGACAGATCCCAGATATTATTTTATTCACAAGCACTAAGTTTCCCTTTAAAATAATGCTATTTTTCAAACATAATCATCACATCTAGAAAATTAATATTCCTTAGTAGTATCACATAAATTCGGATTTCCCCGGTCACTTAAAAGCAATCCAGGATCTCTTGATTCCCCACTTAATAGTCTCTCCTCGGTTGTCCCCTAAGGTCCGCAAGGCCCTGCGGAGCGCGGAGGCCTATGAGAACTTCCTGCGCTGTCTTGTCATCTTCAACCAGGAGGTGATCTCTCGGGCTGAGCTTGTGCAGTTAGTCTCTCCTTTCTTGGGGTAAGTGGAGTTGAGGGGCTTAGCCCTGATGCATGACATGGGAGTGAAATAAAACTTAGTTTGTGAGAATGTGTGATAGGGAAAATTCATTTGATTGTGCTGGGTCGGTTGGCTTATAAAACGTCTGTTGAAAGAGTCCTCTAGGAAGTTGTCTAGCTCACCTCTAGAGAGGAAAAAAGAGAGAGCATCAGACAAGACTGCTGGTCTCCTGATCCCCGCCCCTTGTTGGATGTTTATGGAGACCAGTCTCTTCCAGGGTTCTAGAATCGTGACTGTATTTGACAACCCAAGAATTAGCTGAATATTGATGCAATATTCTTGATCAGAAGAGTGGCTGGTTATTGTCTAGTTTCAGTGCAGCTCTTCCTTCACTACCTTAACTGATCCTAGAGCACTCTGTAAGACAAGGAGAAGCTAGATGCTCAGATGCAGTGCATCTGAGTTAGGAAATAATAATTGTCATTGGAATTGGTCCCTGGTAGCAGTGTTCTCACCCAGCACCAATAGTGGTAGTTGTACCTTAGGATAACTGCATCATGCTTCTAATTGCTCACCAGTGTTTGGTTTGACTCTTCAGGAAATTCCCTGAATTGTTTAATTGGTTTAAAAACTTCCTGGGCTACAAGGAGTCTGTACATCTGGAAACCTATCCAAAGGAACGAGCCACAGAGGGCATTGCCATGGAGATAGATTATGCCTCTTGTAAACGGTTGGGTTCCAGCTACCGAGCCCTCCCAAAGAGTTACCAGCAGCCCAAGTGTACAGGACGGACTCCACTCTGTAAAGAGGTAATGCCTTCCCCAGAGGATCAACCCCGAATCCTCGTCTTTCTTGAGAAAGCAGTGGTCCCAGGGATTGAGAATTTGTATGAGTGAGGAAGTCAAGACCCTTTTTTGTCTTTGAAAAAAAATGTTCTACAGTTATTCAGAACCTTTTCCTTACTCGTATTTTGAAAACTTGTAATGTTAAATGTTTTTTCTTGCCCCTAGAGTTTTACCTTTTTATTGAGAATGCTTAATCACCAGGAAGCTTTGTCAGACTTTTGTTTCAGTTTCTCTTCTTTTATTACCCAAAGGTTTTAAATGATACCTGGGTTTCCTTCCCTTCCTGGTCTGAGGATTCCACCTTTGTTAGTTCCAAAAAAACTCAGTATGAAGAACATATCTATCGTTGTGAAGACGAACGCTTTGAGGTACAAGTTCCTTTATCATTTGAATTTTGGGAAAATGGAAGATGCTAAATGATAAGATATTTTAAGTACTTATCTGTGAGGGTTGGCTTTTAAGACTGAAGAGCCAGAGGCTCAAGTTCTTTTGTGGTAAATGCTTATTGTACTTATCATACTTCACGAGCTTGTCAAATACGTTAGTACGGCAAATGTGACTTCTCTAGGCCACTTCAATCCTTCTAACTGAAATTATCCATTGATGGCTGAGTAATAATCCTTTGAATTTTTAACAGCATTTGAAAGGTTATTGTATTTTACATGGTGTATAAACTTAGCATCACAAGGCCTACTGGGCTACCTTGAAGCTCTTTGAAATTATTTAAAGTGTGTGTTGTTAGGGACTGCCAAGTGGCTCAGTTGATTAAGAGCTCGCTCAAGAGTGTGAGCTCTGAGCAACAGGTTCCCCGGTTCGATTCCTGGCCCGAGCTGAGCTGCCACTGAGCTGCCACAGGTGGCAGGATGGCTCAGCTTAAAAAAAAAAAAAGAAAGGAAAAGAAAAGTGTGGTTATTCTTAGGTGGTTAGCAAACCAGCTCTTCTGTGAGAACTGGAATTCTCTCGTATTTTTTATGTTGATTTGGCTCCTTTTGAAACTAAGTTAAATTAGGGATGAGCTGGTAGAGCCCCTATACCAGGAGTTGGGAGTACTAAAAGTGGGCTCAGAATCCCCAGTGTGCTTAAATGTCCAACTCACTGATATCATCAACAAAAAGAGGGAATGTTAAATGTGTCTAAGGAGGTAAAATTACACGTATCCTATTTAACATATTATAGAAGACTGACTGGCCCTGCTTGTTCTCTGGATGGTGCTGTCTTGCTGTTTTAAACCCATACTGATTTAGCGCTCTGGCAGTGACCCCTCACCCGCTACAATTGCTTTGGGCATGTTTTCTCAACCATGTTGTTATTGTTGTTTTTAATATTCAAATTTCTTGGTTTTAAAGTTGCATATAATTAACACATCCTTTTCAATATGACAGACTTTAAGATTTTATTTTATTTTTATTATTTTTTTTAGCTGAGCCATCCTGCCACCTGTTGGCAGCTCAGTGGCAGCTCAGCTCAGGCCTGGAATCGAACTGGTGACCCTGTTGCTCAGAGCTCACACTCTTGAGTGAGCTCTTAACCAACTGAGCCACTTGGCCGGGCTTTGGACATGTTTTGAATGCAGAATCACGTGTGGCTTGGCCACTGGCAGGTGATTGGCCATCTCTGCCACAGGGTTTATGAGGGTTTTTTAGGGTAAATGATTGAAACTCATGACAGATGTTAACTTCCATGGGAAGTTTTATCAGGCAAAAGAAAGCATTTCTTTGTTACCTACGTTTGGTAAGGTCATATGAGTTAGAAAGAGGAGATTGGCATCTGTTTTTGATAGGATGTTCCCGTGCACAACTGGTATGCCTGTAAATGAGAGGCAACATCTTCATTTCCCATTTGTGATTATAGGAGTGAAGATGATGGAAATGGTGTGTGTGTGTGCATGTGTGCGTGCGCGCGTGCGTGCATGGCGCACACACTTAGGATTGGGTGGGATGGGCTAGTTTGAAGGAGCATTCCTTTATACCTCAGGAGAGGTTAGTGATTCTACAATATAGATAAAACCCCCAAATCTCAGTGGCCTGAAGAACCAGACTTATTCCTTAATCTTGCTGCATGTGCATTTATGTTATTAGGGGATTCTGCTCCTCAGAATTACTTGGGGACCCAGACTGACAGAGTGCCACCATCTTGAATATTGCCAGTTACTGGAAGGAAAAAGCGAGCCCAAAAGGGTCTTGCACCACTAAATGTTCCAGCCTAGAAGTAATAAACATTACTTTGACTCAACTATTCACAACTCACTTGACAGTACTAATTGCATGATCCCATCCAATCACAAGGGAGCCAGGAAGTTCAGTCTGTCTTTTGTCCAGAATTGGGGAGAAGGGGACCAGAAATATTTGACAAAATGACTACCGTCACCAAACTAGAAAACTTAAACTCCTATAGACATTTGGTCGTAGGCCTTTGAGACTGTTTACTTCATTTTCTGTTTCTCATCTAGAGAATTTTTTTTTTTAAGATTTTATTGGGGAATTGGGGGAGGGGAATAGCATTGGGGATTCGAGGAAGGGGAACAGACAAGTTGCTGTCCTTTTGTTCTTCAGTCTAGTTGTGGAGGGCGTTGCTTCACTAGCCCATGTTGGTATTATCATTGCGCTCTTCCCAGGTGAGGCAGATCGGTGGACAGCCACTCACAGCAGCTGTTGGCAGCTCATGCTGGCTGCCAGCCATTCACGGTAGCTTTATGGCAGCCCACTGCAGCCTACGCTGATGCCGGGGACTCATGGCAGCTCAGCGACACTGGCCCTAATGTGGAATCAGAACCAGGGCCCTGCTGCTCAGAGCTGGTGTCCCAAGCCATCTCTTAACCAACACGCCACTCAGCCGGCCCTCATCTAGAGAATTTTGTGTTAAGCCTAGGGGGAAAAGTTACCTCAAAGGCTGCCAGTCATATCCTTAACCTCATTGGGCCAAGCCCTTGCCAGGAATTCAGTAAGAATTGAAATGGGTCCCCACATGCACAACTTTGACACCCTCCTGCTTACTCATCACTTATTAATGTTCATTATGTGCCAGGCATTGTGCTAGATCTTTACTTTATGTGGATTGTATCGTTTAACCCAGAAAACAACTTTATGAGAGTAGATCTGCTAGCCCTACTTCACTGGTAAGGAAACAGTCTTATTGGCTGGGACGGCAGAGCTAGGATCGCACCCAGGGAGTGTGACGTCCCACCTTCTACTCCTGATCTGTTCTGGTTGGGCCCTGAGCACACTTTGTCTTCTTTAGCTTGATGTAGTTTTAGAGACTAATCTGGCAACAATCCGGGTTCTGGAAGCAATACAGAAGAAGCTTTCCCGCTTGTCTGCTGAGGAACAAGCCAAATTCCGCTTGGACAACACGCTTGGAGGCACATCGGAAGTCATCCATCGGAAAGCACTGCAAAGGATCTATGCTGACAAAGCAGCCGACATAATTGATGGGCTGAGGAAGAACCCCTCCATCGCCGTCCCCATTGTCCTTAAAAGGTATCTACGCAAACGCCTTTCGTGCTCTCGTGTGCTTCACAACAGGTTCGGTGTCCATTAAGTGAAGCTCTCATTTTCCACCTGGTTATCCCACGAGACCACCAGGTCTCCCCATCTGGGTTGAAAATCAGGTGCAGTGCGGGATAGTGAAGCTTCTTTTTTTAAAAAAAATGGAATGCTTCATGAATTAAAAAAACAAAACTAGAATGCTTCACAAATTTGTATATCATCCTTGCACAGGGGCCGTGCTAATTTTGTTTCATTCCAATTTTAATACATAGAGGGTGCCAAAGAAATGTATACATATTTTAAGAAAGGAAAAAACTATATTAAAATTGTAATACTCAATATATACTGATGACAGAAGATGAATACGAGTCATGTGTATACATTTTTTTTGGCACCCCCGTATGTGTAGCTCAAGTGAGCGCGATAGTGGGGCTTCTTGATGGGCTTCTATGTACCAACAGTAGAGGACAAACCTTGCAAGTCCATAGTGGAATGCTCTGTATTTGAGGCCATATTTTAAGATATAGAAAAGAATAAGGAAGAGAACCACGTTCCTGTCGTTCAGTATTAACTGTTGTAACATCTTTGATTTTTAATAAGAATCACTTCTTGTCTGTGTAAAATTGATATGTATTATTTAAAGAGAGTTGGATTGCCATTTCTTCCAAGCGTGTCTCCTCTCTCCTCATGAGCTCTCACCCTGAGGTGTAGAGGGGCTTCGTGCCCACCTGCAGCCAACCATCAGGAAGTGGGCCAGGGCACTGGGGACTACACTGACTGTCAGCCAGGACCTGGGTCCTCATTCAGGGTCACCTGGTGGAAAGAATTCTTGTCTGCTGCACAGTTCATAGATGCCTCTGTTGTATTGCTCCTCCCCCAGGTTTTGGCATAGGTCAGTCCTCTTTTTGCCGGTAGCATTTCACTTGGCTTTGAGATGCAGGGTATTCCGTGGTCCCCATGCTGGTTTTGATTTGACTCTCCTCTCCTGGAGGGTTAGGATCAGTTGTTCTCATGAGAACTTTTCCAAACTGTGTCCAAAGGAACGTTACTGTGCAGGTTCTCTGCCCTTGGACTTCTGCATTTACATCAGGAAAGTAAACAAGTGCTGTAGCGAAGACTTGTTTAACTTCACTTTAGCTGGCAAAGGAAGAGAACCTACTTTTCAGGGGTATTCCGGGGATGACGTTTGAGAAATAACTATTCTAAGTAGGATCTCTGACTTTGGGACAAGTTACTTCCCTAAGGTCAGTCTTGAATGAATACTCCTCATGTAACAGAGTTCAAAACTGGTTTGAATAACATTTATCCCAAGTTGCCAATAATTTTGACAGGCCTTTTTATGTCTTTTGAGTTTTGAAATCAAGTAAGAATAACATATTTCTCATTTCTGAACTCTTAATGATTAAGAGTAGGTGCTATTATTCCCACTTCACTGGTCAGGAAACAATTCTATGTGGCTGGTATGGCACAGCCAGGATCCCACCCAGGGAGTGTGATGCCCCACTTTAGAATTCCCACATCTGAATTCTCACATCTTATCTCCACCCCCACCCCACTAGGTTGAAGATGAAAGAGGAAGAATGGCGAGAAGCTCAGAGGGGCTTTAACAAGGTGTGGAGAGAGCAAAATGAGAAATACTATTTGAAGTCTCTGGACCACCAGGGCATCAACTTTAAACAGAACGACACGAAGGTCCTGAGGTCTAAGAGCTTGCTCAACGAGATTGAGAGTATCTATGACGAGGTGAGCAAGGGGTTCCTAACGGCTGGGAGAGGCTCCGTGTTGCTATTCTGCATAGCTTTTATTCCGGGAAATGATCTGTTATGTGAAAGTGAAACCCTCTAAGACTTGCGATTTTTGCTTCATGACTGGTGTAGACTTCTTTTCCTGGTTCTACCATTTTAAATCTAAACCTCACCTTTATAGCTAAGCTGTTTTACTGGTTTCCCAATTTACTTAACATCCTGATTTTAGTTGACTCCACTGCCTCCTTCTCCCACTCCTCTTCTCATCTGTTCTCCTCACACAATACCTTGTATTCGTTAGTATAGCCCATCTCATCTTCCCAAGCTTGAACACTTACCACTAATCCCTAAACTCTTCCTAATCCTTGTTTATTCAGCATCCTTACGAGGTTTATGTGTATAGTACGAGAGCTAGGATACAGAGATGAATAAGAAATGAATCCTGCTTTCTTTGAGTTTACAGAATTAGGTGATGGATAAAAACATAAATGCACTGTGATTGAGAAATTCCTAGAAGTAGTTTGCTCTTCGATTCTAAAAAACTTTATTGTGAAAATATCAAATATACACGAAAGGGGAGAGAATAGTAAAATTAGCTCTTACATAAACAATGACTCCTGTGTGCCACTGCTGTTGCATCTAACACCTCCTGCACTCCCACCCAGAAGTGCTTTAAAGTAAACCCCAGACCTCATAGTGTATCCTCCATAAATAATAATCCACAGTTTAAAAATACAGTCCGAATTCTGTCCCATTGTCCCTTAATATGTCTTCAAAGTATAGAAGGTACCATTTTGGTATCAAGCCACATCTTCCACATTACCTTATTGTTTCTGGAGGTTTTGGATGGAAAACCATAGCTGCTGTGGTTAATGATGGTGTAATCTTGTATGCCATTTGTTGTTGCTGTAGGTACGGCACTTAATACTTTGTGTCTCTCTCCTGGTAGAGGCAAGAGCAGGCTACGGAAGAAAATGCTGGTGTGCCCGTTGGCCCGCACCTCTCGCTGGCCTATGAAGACAAACAGATCCTGGAGGATGCCGCTGCTCTGATTATCCACCACGTGAAGAGGCAGACGGGCATTCAGAAGGAGGACAAGTACAAAATCAAGCAAATCATGCATCATTTCATTCCAGACCTGCTGTTTGCTCAGAGGGGTGATCTCTCGGATGTGGAAGAAGAGGAGGAAGAGGAGATGGATGTAGACGAAGCCACAGGCGCAGCTAAGAAGCACAACGGGGTTGGAGGCAGCCCCCCGAAGTCCAAGCTGCTGTTTAGTAACACAGCGGCGCAGAAGCTAAGAGGGATGGATGAGGTGTACAACCTCTTCTATGTGAACAACAACTGGTACATATTCATGCGGCTACACCAGATTCTCTGCCTGAGGCTCCTACGCATCTGCTCCCAAGCGGAACGGCAAATCGAAGAGGAAAACCGAGAGCGAGAGTGGGAACGGGAAGTGCTGGGCATAAAGCGAGATAAAAGCGACAGCCCTGCCATCCAGCTACGTCTCAAAGAGCCTAGTGAGTGCCTGGACTGTTGGTTTACAGAGGGTGTGAGGGGTGGGGGCCTCATGGCCTAGTTAGACTCATGACTGCTTCCCTTCTACATGGGGCACAGACAGACCTCAGAGGGGTTCAAATCCTAGTTCTGCAACTTGCTGGTTGTGTGATCTTACTTAAACGCTCTGAACCTGTTTACTGTAAAATGGAGGTGCTGCCTGTTACCCTGCGGGGTGATTGGGAGAATTGGAGAAAATAACACACACCACCCTGTGTGGTGCTTAGATCGACACTCAGTGGCTGGCCCTGTGGACACCAGGGAAGGGGGAGGTGTCACTGCCATCTGTTTCCCAGATGGCGGGTCTCTGGGTTATTGCAGAGGGTTTCAAAGGACAGAAGGACTAAACGGCACCGTTGTTTCCACTCCATGACAGGACATAAATTCCTTGTCTAAGACCAGGTGTGCATTTTCTGATGTGTTTGGGCAGGACGTCTCGTTAACCAGAGGGGTTTGTGGCTCGTTCATAATAAACAGATAGGTTATGGAAAGGAGGTTGGAACTCGAGGTGGTGTGAGACAGCAGAACAGGTAAAACAGCAATGAAGATAGAGAACTTGGAAAAAGGAAAATGAATAAGTGTTAAGGAAGCCACCTTGTGCTTTAAGTAATTATGGGCCATCTACTTCTAAATAACTGTTCAGTACTTGAGTTGTAGGCCAAAAACTTTTTCGCAAATCCTTTTTTCTGTGCTCTTGAGGAAACAGCCAATCTGTGGAGCAAATCATCTTTTTTTTTTTTTTTTAACTTGCTGTTGTAAGAAGGCCATGTGTAGCCCCAGCCTTCTATCTGCTAACGAGCTAATGACATTGGGAATTAATTCTAAAAGCCTGTATCTATATTAACTCGAGCTTGAGAGAGACGACTTTTGACCTTAGTGTGGTGAATCCATCAGCGTGGGTGGAAATGAGAGAGAAACGGCCTCACCCTGGCTTGACCACCGACCTACCTCCGTATGAGCTTACACAGTATGGTCTTGAGTGACAGTGACACCTCACACTGATCGCAGCTCGTGTGCCCGTGTCTGTGCTTTGCACTCGTAGCTTTATCGTGGCCTGACAGCACCTTTTCACGGCACCCGCACAACCTGTGCCTGTGTGCAGCCCTAACAAGGCGATGGTCTGTGATGCAGCACAAGCCAGCTGCTGCTTTTGAACAGTCCCATTTCAGATAAACAGGCTGTTACCCTCAGCCTTTGCCTTGTACAGACTTTACTAACTGGCAACCTAATGTCAGTGACAGAGTTCCTTTTGGAACTTTTTTAATTTTAGTGAACTTTTTATTGAAGTACAACACATGTATCAGAAAGGACGCAAATCTAAATTGTATGGCTCAGTGAGCTTTTACAACATAAACACACCTGTGTAGCGTACCCAGTACCTGGTTCAAAAAACAGCATAACCAACCCCCAGTAGCCCCTCGTGCCACTGCCTTGATTGCAAGCCCGAGACAAGATGCGCCTGATTTTGAGCCTCATGTAGTAGGTTTTCCTTTAGTACACCAGAGGCAGGCCTTTTTCCGTTCCCGTGCCCTCTGCTAGTTGCCAGCGTCCCCGGAACAGCCGGTAAGATTCTCGCTTGTGGCAGAGTGGTTCCTGGGCACCAAGTACAGACTGCTCCGTGGAGTTGTGGAGTGAGCGTTGCGATCAGTCATTACACAGAAGGACTCGGACAGATGGAGATGCGTCACTATTCTAGTGCCTGTTCTGTTCCCGAGAGGTTGCCCAGTGCAACAGTTACTCTGCCAGCCTCGTTCTCGTCTGCTCTCTGGGCTTTACTGGAGGAGCTTTGTGGGCCATGACCCCTGTCAGGAATGCTGTCTGTAAGCCTACAGAGCAGTCTCCTCAGCAGAGGAACCACCGGCTCTCTGAGGAGACCTCTTCCCCAGAATAATTTGTGCTCCTACACAGATAGCCAAGCCAGCAGTAAGTGTTGTGGCTTGCCAGGGAGAAGCCGCTGGTCACGGCGCAGTCACTCTGGTAGGCGGCGCTGGGGGCTGCAGCCGCCGGTTGGATTGCTGCAGGTTGAGGGGGGACGTCTGAGCACCAAGGGTCTGTCCTGGTGCTCCTGACCCACAGTGGGGCCCACCCTGCCTGCTCCCCGAGCTGTCCTAGCAGGTGGAGCCTCACCTTTGCCCTCTCACGCAGTGGACGTGGACGTGGAGGACTATTATCCGGCTTTCCTGGACATGGTGCGCAGCCTGCTGGACGGCAATATCGACTCGTCCCAGTATGAGGACTCGCTGCGGGAAATGTTCACCATCCATGCCTACATTGCCTTCACCATGGACAAGCTCATCCAGAGCATCGTCCGGCAGGTGAGCGCTGGTGGGCGTCCTCCCTGAGGGACCAGGCCAGATGACAGGTGTACATTACAGCCCTGGGGATGACAAGTGGTTCCGTGGGGGCGGGTAATGGGCTGTCGTTTCCACTGGCAACCGCGGGGCAGCACTTCTGCCACAGGACTGACCCCTACTTTGCTTAGTGTGTCCTTCATCCCTCCCAGTTATGAGCCCCCAGACCTGGCGCTCTGCCCCTGTGTGCTGGCTGGAGCCGCACTGACCTGGCCCCACTCCGCACGCTGGCCCAGCCCTCCCTTTGTCTGTCGGGTGTGGGGGGAGCTCTCTTCTGTAGGTGCTGGTAATTCTCATACTTTCCTCATTTAATATTTGAAGTTCTTTTTACAGGAAGGTTTCACATACCATCTTTTATAATACATTGCCACCTTACAATCTGAGGTTCCCTCTGAGTTAGGTTTGTGGTGTGTTCCTGTGGCACCCTGGGAGTTTGTAAACACGTTCTCTACAAGAGTGAAACTTCATAGCAGAGAGGATGAGTAGTCAGTCAGGTTTCCGCTCTGTTGCCTTGAGTTCTGAACTCCGAAGGGAGGCTGTTGGTGCAGTTTTTTCTTTTGCATGACTGCTTTATTTGAAAAGTCACTTGTCAGTGTTCAGTATCAAGATAGTTGCATTATTGGTTTGTCTTTCTCCCAGTTGGCCCCCAAAGAGACCACACTGGTACATTACTTTCTTTAAAGTGAAAACTTACCAAAAAAGAGTTCTAATTCCAGAGTCTACATTGCCACCGTGGAAAGAAAGCTTGTTGCTGAGTGCTCCCTTGAGTGCTCCCTTGGTGTAAAGTGTGGAATCGTTTGCAGAGTGCCCATGCTTTTGCCTCACATCTGAAAAGATGCGTGGCTCTGCGTCCCTCTCACAGGATCTGCTGAGTCAAGGAAGAACGTTTCATATAACTGAATTTTGGCATCTTCACGGAAGGTGGCAGGCAGTTTTGTTCCTGAAAATTGAAGAATTTATTAGGCCTTCTCTTAGTCTGTATGGTGACTGACAAATCTTTGGAAGGATGCAAGTAACTCTGGTCGTAATTTTTGAGAAACTAATCCCTGTTAACACCCCCTGACAGTTGCTGTGTGTTTATGTTTCTGCTTAGAAGTTTGTTGCTGCTAAAGCTAAAAGTAAAGTCTTCATACTGCTAGCACAACAACTTTATAAATTCAATAAAAGAAACTTTAAGCCGAGGCTGGTTTTTGAAACGATAGATATAATTAGTCCATTTACTAGAAGCACCTGGTAATAACTTTGAGTCAGTAATACATAATGTCCAGTCTTTTTTTATGGAAACAGGTTTTATGCAGAAACCCAAATTCAGTGTTTTTAAAACATATGTTCATGGTTCTCATCTTAACCCTTCAATTGGTGGCATATCTTCTCTCACTTGCCTCATTTCATTTGGTGTTCTCCCAGAGTTCATTGCTGACTAGAGGTAGAACATACAATTCAAGGTCAAGCCATACATTTATCTTATCATTTCCAGACTAGTTTAAGAGGGATTTGTCTTACATCTAGTACAGAACTCAAAATATGCCAGACCACGTAGGGATTGCACTGGGACATTGTTTTCCTTGCCTGCATGCCTGCCTTCTGGATGTCTGTTCTGTTCTCATGCTTTTCTCTGCACACAGCCCTTGGACACACACTTAGGGCTCCCCCAGCCCCTGAATCTTTGGCTTACCACGGCAGTGCCTCTGGCCTCCACCTTCTATTCAGATGTTCCTCTGTCTGCTGGACACACTCATTGTGTCATTTCACATTAGCAGAAGAGAGAATCAGACCAACCTAGCTTCGGGGTGCAGTTGCCTAGCTGTCCCTGGGTTGATTAGTTACAGCGCTGCCCTTTGCAAAGACTAGAAGGGGCCACATGTCCAAAAAGAGGTGTAGGTGGGGAGTCAGTGACCTGGTCTGCCTCAACAGGAAGGTGCAAAGCACAGGTGTCTCCGTGCTAGAAACCAGGCTTTGGTTATAGTACTTTGTTTACACTACTTTTTCTCTCTGAATCACTGTATCTTAAGCTTTTCTCTGTGTTACCAAGTTATAAGCATTATTTTAATGGTCCAGTAGAATCCATTGTCTGGACTAATTGTAATTTATTCAACTATCTCCAGTTGCTGGTTTTCCTGCCACCATCAAACCCTTTGACCTTGCACTGTGTCTATTTATCTACAAATACACATACTTGTCATTTAAGACTTTTTTTAAATATTAAAAATAAATAATTTTCATAGTTAATAGTACTTCAAAAACAATGTATGTCCCTAAAAATAGGATGGCTTAGTGGTTATGAGAATTTTAAGGGAAAATAGACAAATTGACATTGCATTTAACTTTTTGCTTTTTGTAGCTTTTTTTTTACATTCTCTAGCATTTTGATGGGTAATTTCATTTGAGGAAATTTTTATTTCACAATAGAAATATCTTCATGACCCATGACCATGGAAAGAAACTCTGATTCAACTTTCTAGTTATTAGATAGTTTAACAAGATAGTTGCAAATCTATCTAATCCGATAGTTTCCTACATATCAGACGTAGGAAAATAGATGGTTAGAAAGAATATTGGCCTGGGGTCAGGAAGCTTGAGTAGTCCTAACTCTCCTCCTTCAGCTGAGTGCCCCGGGGAAGTTAGTTCAACAACAACTTCTTAAATACCTCATGAGTTTCAGACTTTGTACAAGGGCTAAAAATAAAGACGGGCCTCAAAGGCCCCTTGGCTACACACTGAGTTTTCTCATCTAACACACAAATTTATCTCATGTATAACAGGCCACCCCTGTACAGCCTCTTCCCAGAGCAGTTGTCTGGATCCAAAGAGAATATGTGTGAAAGCAAATTGTAAATTGTAAATTAGTGCCATAAAAATAGGAAGCCATATCACATAAAAATCTTTTTTAAAGTTCTTTAGAACTTTAAATAAGCAGCTCATTAACCTGACTTGCCTGTGGTTTTGCCCTTAAAGAGGTACGAAAGTTTTACTCATCGACCAGTGATATGGTTGAAAACTTTTGTTTCAGTTATTCTCCAAGAAAACAAAATAGTGGTTTTGTGTGATTAATTTTTTTAAATGACCAACCCAAAAAAACCTTTTTGAGCTCAGTGACAGGACCTAGAGGAAGGTTAACTGTGTGACAGGGACAAGTGTCTTCTTGGTTCACTGGCGACTTGCCTTTGCTTGATTCCAGCTACAGCACATTGTGAGTGATGAGATCTGTGTACAGGTGACTGACCTGTACCTGGCAGAAAACAACAACGGGGCCACTGGAGGACAGCTGAACACGCAGACCTCAAGGACGCTCCTGGAGTCAGCGTATCAGCGGAAGGCCGAGCAGCTCATGTCGGATGAGAACTGCTTTAAGGTGAGAGTCACTCGTGCAGTCAGGGACCGTGCTGGTGACAGTTTCTGTTGTTGGGACTGTCTCCACCAGAAGTCAAAGCCGTACCGTCTGGGCGCTTTGACCCAGTGAGTCCACTTCTGGAACACCTTCGAGTTCCTGGGAGCTCACTGGAGGAAATACACGAATACAGAAAAGTGGAAGTCAAGTCTTCCAAGCACAGTCTGTTCGTTTTCCTTTAAAAAAAATTAGTCGTTATATGTGATTTTTACAATTTTGTGTTCCGCTTCATTTCTTTGAACATTTTTTCATATGATAGAGCTTCGTAAGTATATTGTCTTAAAATGTTTATAAATGTAATCCTTTATCACCATAGGAAAAATAGGAAATGCGGAGAAAAAGTTACCTGCAGTTCTTTCAGAAATAATCACTGATGACATTTCTAGACTTTACTATGCTTGTGTATATTTTGAAAGAGATGATACTAGGCAGAGTGTTGTGTAACTTATTTTGCTCAGTTAACAACACCTCAGAGCCTTCAGCATCTTTTTGTGACTATTTGATATTTCATTTTGTAGAGAATTACGCCTCTCTTGTTTTTACATCTGGGTTTCCAGTTTTCTACCATTGTAATAGGTAATTTGAAAAGCATATGTGGAAACAACCTAGATGTCCAGCCCCTTTATGGGGGTGGTATTGTGTGAATACTGAATGGCAAATTTTGTAGCCCTTTAAAGTTAATTATAAATTATAAAAATATTGAAGCAAATAAAAAGATACAAAAGTATATATATTATGATTGCAGCTATGTAATAAATGTGTAAGTTAAAGCCTGTATTTAGGAGGGCAGGCTCAGGTTTGTAGTTGGCCAAGTAGAGAGATTTAATATAAGTGTTTATTATGAGTTTACTGTGTGTTTAGTTTCAGTGGTGAACAGAATTACCATCCCTCCCCACAATGAGTTAGCAGCATATGAAATTGTGTGACGAGGGCCTGTGAAGAAATGGACAGACCCTGTAGTAGATAAGAATACTTGTCAGAGTGGCAGAGAGAATAGCAGGAACAAAGGGCTTAGTAACTAGGAAAATTGTGTTACCAAGTGATCCTCGTCTTTAAAATGTTTACTGAGAGAGTAAATTTTAATAGTGTTACCACTAAGCTAAGCGTAAGCAGTAAGCAGCCCTTCAGATCTTCCGCCACTCCCGCCCCAAACTCCAGCCTCCTCTCCCTTTATTTTTCCTATGCACATTCTATACTGCTTTTTAAAACTCAGGCATGGTAAGCTCTCTCTGTCCATTCAGACCCTTTTCTGTGCATTTACATACATATGTGTGTATGTTTAGAAATAAATTTTAGACCATGCGTATTCTACATCCTGCTTCTTTTCACTTGTATGTCTTAGAATTGCTCAATTTTGGTTTATATAGATCCAGCTCATTTCATTCAACTGCTGTGTTGTACTTAATAGTATGAGTGTACCATATTTTTAAAAAAAATCATTCCCTTATGTGTGAACATTTAAACTATTTCCATTTTTCTTCTATCTCAAATAGTGCTACATTGAATGCATTTTCTTGTGCTTGTGTTAATATTTGTCTAGGGTAGAGACAAACACGTGAAATGATCTGGTTAAAGGGTATGCATATTTTAAATTTTTTATTTTAATGGATATTGCCATTTCACTCTCCAAAATGTTAGGCTATAACAGTGTACATTTCCGTAAGAGCGTTTATTGCATTATCCTTAGTCACTTGGTAGTATCAAACTTCTTTATTTTCTGCCAGTTAGATGGTTATAAAACTACGTTATTTATTTCCCTATTTCCTACTGTTGCCCTTCCCCCCCTCTTCTATGTATTGCTTATTCATGTCTTTCACTTGTGGGGTGGGGGGGTTCTCAATGCCCAGCTGAGTGTCGCTTCAGTGAAGTAAAATCTTTTTCAGCTCACTGAGGAGGAATTGTTTGTTCTCACAGCATATTGCTCGTTTCTCTAAAATATATAGTACCTTTGTAGTTACTTAGTTCTAATGTAAATACAGCTGTTTATATTCCTGTTTCTGGTACTAAATTGAGCTTCTCCGAAAAAGAAACCATGTTCTTTTCCTAGTGTGCCCTAACTGATAAATAGTGGACATTCGGTGACTGTTGTTGAGTGAATGAAGCACAGGATATTGGCGGAGGGGGTGTGTAGAAAGGAGAGGATCCTTATAGCCACACTAAGTAAATGGTTTGGGTTTTCTTGTGGTTGGTGAGCAATGAGTTACTATTAAGGGCTAACTGTCCCACTGGATTTGAGCTTTCAGGAAGATCCGTTTGGTAGCATGGAGTAAGGAGGAGTGGAGGAATCAGAGGGGTGTATGCCACTGGAGGCAGTTGCCAAATTTGGGTGATGGGTGTGGACAGTCTAATAATGCGGCTAGTCAAGACTTGGGAGAGTGGTTCCAGAGGTGAGGGCACTGGGCACACATGCGGGAGGGGCCTGACAAGACAGGCACAGGTTGAAGGGTCCTGTTGGGGTGAAACTGAGTTTGGTTTTAAGCATATCTACTTAATATCACTTTGAAGGGTGATTTCCTTAGAGCAGTAAGACCGGTGTACACTCTAGGTCACCCCAGGTGCAGGGGAGTTAGCAAACTCCTGTGGGCAGCTTTTTCCATATCTATTTTTGCAGGGAGAGACTGAGTCAGTCAGGCTCGCTCGCGCTCTCTCTCTGTCTCTCTCTCTCTCTCTCTCTCTCTCTCTCTCTCTCTCTCTCTCTCTCTCTCTCTCTCTCTCTCTGTGTGTGTGTGTGTGTGTGTGTGTGTGTGTGTGTGATGTTTTAAATTTCAGTAGCAGACAGGGATGTTTAAAACTTCTCCAGAAGAGCCCTGGGAAGCATAACTGGCTTCTTGTCCTGTTTGCTTACTGACTGGCTCTGTGCCCTTGAGAACTTAAGAGCTCTGAATTTTAGGTTTTTCCCTGTGTAAACCAAAGAAATTGAAATAAATTGAGTTCTCAAGCTTCCTTCTAGTATCTTCTTCTGTGTGCTTTGGGTAGTGACCGTGTCTGCAGCAAACCCTGAGGATGAGGCTTTGAGAACCCAGGGGTTCTGAAAGTGACCTTCCGTGTGCCATCACCATTTGATAGTTATTTTGTGCGAAACATGACTTGCTTTTTGCCTTAATCTCTGTATTGCTTTTAAATGTGGATTTTTTTTTAAATCTCACAAGTATTCAGATCTGAGAATTTCAAGGACTTTCAGTGCCTGATACCACTACCGCATATCACTCCCTGTATGCCAGTGTTTGTATTCCTTACCCCACAGCAGGTGTCTCCTTGGGTGTGTTCACTGCGATGGCAATGTGGTTGCTGCTCTGTCGTGTTGATGTTTTCCACTTCACTTTGGTGCAAGACAGTTCCTTTTTTCTTTCTTTCTTCTTTTTTTTCTTTCTCCTTTTTTTTTAAACCACTGTAGACTTGTTTGCATCTTTGCATTAAGCCCTGGAAATGGAATTATCGAGTGAAATGGCATTGGCATTTTATGGTTCTGCTTTTGCCATAGTTCTTCTTAATGAACAAACTGCTTTTAAAGCACTCTTACCGACATTGATTATTGTTTTGGCTAATTCAAGAAATAGAAAACATAAAATGGTGCTTTTTGCTCTAACTTCATTTTGCTGGTAGCAATATTAAACTTTTGCCTTTTTAATCAGCAGCCTCCTAAGCTTTTGAGTATCTTCCTCATCTCTTCCATTGGAGCAGAACTTGATAACTTTATTGCCTCCCCACCTCCCAACCCTTGAGAAACTAGGGTATAGCTTTGGAGATGGTCTTTTGTTTACACTCAAGTTTCTTTTTGCAGCTTATGTTCATTCAGAGCCAAGGCCAGGTTCAACTGACCATTGAGCTTTTGGACACAGAAGAGGAGAACTCGGATGACCCTGTAGAAGCAGAGGTATGGACAAGGGTATTGCAGAAATGTCTCAGAGAGCTGTCACGTCCTGATTCTGCCCACTGACTGTCTTCTATAAGGCCCAAACAGCCTTAGGCCTATGTAAGGGTCAGGGCCTGATGCTTAAAGTACAGGTCACTCCAGCCATGTCTTAAGCTGAATAGAAGGGCTGCCTGGTGGTAAATATTCAAGGTTGATGGCACTCTCCTCTAGCTCTCAGTAAAGCCATCTTCTCTGAGGCAATTCTCATGGCTGGCACATTTCTTGTTTTTAATCCTGAAATCTAAGAAACAACACATGAGGTGCCATTTGCCCATTGTCATCTTGACTCTTTGTGTCATGTTTACTTTTTATTAGGATAGATGAAGCCAGGAGTTTGCAACCCCACAGAGCAGACAGAGTGAGTTGGTTGTCCCGGCTGGGTCTGGCTGGTAATGTTCATGAGAGAGGCAAGCCCACATGTATGGTGTTGGGGTATACGGAGGGGAGACTGTTTTTGTGCGAATATTGGCTCATGGTTGCCAGATCTTTAACATTTTTTAAAGTGATGCCAGAATCCAGATTTTAATGTGAAAGATACTGATTTTCAAACATTTGTCACTATCATTGTATTCTTTAACAAAACGCTCTGTGGGGAATTAAAACTTGTCAGTGAGCCAGCTTCTACAGACTCTGGTAGCATTTAAATATCTCAGAGAAATGTTGGGTTTTGCTGTCTAACAGAATTTTTAAGCTGTGTTTCAATACCAAGTAACAAGCATGTCATTATGGAAAGATTTTTTTGATCTTAAAATTTTCGGGATTTCAGACATTTTAGTCATAGAATTTGCTAGACTACCTGATGAGGATGGAGTTCAGCTTTTGTGCTCTCCCCCACCCCCATCCTAGCGCTGGTCAGACTATGTGGAGCGATATATGAATTCTGATACTACCTCTCCTGAGCTTCGTGAGCATCTGACTCGGAAACCAGTATTTCTCCCAAGGTGAGTGGACCAAGTCATGTATCAGTAGCGTACACCTGTGCAGGTTGGGAGAGAGTTAAATGACTTGCAGGTTCTTGGTTTTCACTTACTCTAGTCATTGTTCTGTCTGCTTAGGACACTAATTAAGGTTTGTGTTGCTGTGACACCAGGAGCTTACCTGGAGCTCATGCCAAAGCATCAGGGAAGTGATTTTGAGAGAATCTGCAGTGACTTTCCTTGTTGGATAGAGATGTGTGAAAGGATACAAAGCTAAATCAGCAAAGGGAAGAGGCACCTGTGGCAAAGTGGGAAGCCAGGCGCAAGATTCCAAGAGCCCTCTTCCAGTGGAATCACACGGAAACACTCTTTAATTCCTCCAGCAGCAGACTACGACTACACATTTGAAATACTGTCTGCCAGGGAGGTCAGTGCCAGGGTTTTTTAGTGGGTGCTAGTCATGTAGGCACCCACTGTCTAGCATGTACCCAAATTTCACACTTCCAGAAGGAAAGCATATTTTCAGCATGAACCCATATTATTTTGTACAAACAGTTGACACATAGTGAGCCAACTCTTATCATTTAGGGAACATGGAGACACTCCCCAAATCTAAGATCCCAAAACCCAGCCAGAGGACAGGCTTTTCAGAGGAGAGCAGTCTTAGGCCTGCTGTGTTAATGCTTTAGGGACCATCTTTTCCATTCCTCGCCACTCCCACACACGGGCGATTGTAATCCTGGTTCTCTGAGGTGCAGAAAGTGTTTCAGAAGTAGGAAATAGGTTTTGCTGTAGTAGTGTGGCTTTCTTCCCTCCCAAAAGTTTAGAATTGAATCTCATGCCTTACATTTCCAGAAAGGTGCTATCCCAGGATTATTATACTTGGTCCCAACAGGAACATGGAAAGGGGTGTGAGTGGAAGGGTTCTGCTAGGCTCCTGCAGCCATTGATGCCTGGCGCAGACTTCAAGCAGCTGCTCTGCCAGGCCCCTCAGCAAAACAGACTCAGTCTCTGTGTTTTTGAAACAGTACAATAAACATACATGTGTTTCTCACTCGGTTGGCAAAGTTTTTAAAAGATTTGTAATCTGTGTTTAGAGGGTACAGAGAAGGGAGGCACTTTGATATGCTGTAGGGAAAGATAGGAATTAATAGTCATTCTGGAGTTGGGGGCCTTTAATCTGTGGGACCTTTACCCTAGAACTTTGGCTTCTAATTGCCTTCTAGCTATGGTTCTCAGTCTTGGCCTTCTCAAGGCCTTCTCAGCGAAGGCCTTGAGATCCCTTCACTCTTAGAGATTGAGTACCCCAAAAAACTTTTGTGTATATGAATTATATCTAGTAATATTTACCACTACGTTGTTTGGTCGAAATATGTAAAGAAAATCTGTCCTTACTCAAATATATAGCTAGAAAAAAATTATTTTCATATCCTTTCAAATAATCGGGGCTATTCTTTGATATGAGTAAAACTCTTCGAGTGGTCGTTTCTTAAAGATCAGTTGCAGTATCAATGAAAAACATCAGTGAGCTTTTCATACAGTTAATATCAAAATCCATTGGTGTATCTTGTACTTGGAATGAATCTTTTTTCCATGCATGACTGTATAACTTCATGCAGCTGTTTATTTGGAAAGTAAAGTTATGCAGACCTACCAGATGTTTACACATTTTCATTTCATAACATCCAAAAAAATCACATTTATTAATATTGCCATTGACCTCATCAGACACATCTTTAAGTAGTGGGAGGCTGTTAGGTCATGGTGGCAAGTACTGGTGTACCAAAATCCAAAGTTTTACCCGAAAGCTTCAGTCTTACTATGGGCAACGATATGTGCAGTTGTTGCCCTGAAGTACTAGGCTTCCTTTGTCAGTTTTGAGCAGATGTGTACCAGACACCCCAGGCTGTCTGGTCAGTTGTCTTGCAGGTAAAATTGGTGACCCGTACGCAGCTCAGGCAGCACTCAGTGCCTTTCATCAGGGGCCCTGTCCCTGGTGTGGTTCCCATTTCAACACACAGCATACTAAAACCATGTGAACTCGGGCTGGAGCTCCATTTACAATTTACTTGTGACCAGGACACACTTCTCTGAAACCAGCTTTTTCATTGCCAGTGCGTGAAGAGAAGGATACCACAGTTTCTGAGGACAGTTTGGTGCCATCACCAGCATTTTTAATCTCCGCTGCTTTCGCACTGCGAGTGCAAATGTTAACACAGTAAAAAGGGGAGGCAAATGATGTTTTAGTACTAAGATGAAAATAATTTTGATTTCACAGACCCCCTGAAAAGGGTCTTGGGACCCAAGGGTCCTTGGACCAAAGAACTGCTGTCCTACAGAAATAACCGTATAGAAAGACAGACAGTGTTTTTAATAGCAAAGTATTGGAAACAATGTAATTGTCTAGCTAAGCTTTCTTTGCTTATTGTTAGAATTAAGCTCTAAATATCCACCAAGGCATCCATTGATGTGAATTATCTTCTTTCCTGTGTATGTAGAATAGCATTAGTTAATGTACCATCTATGGAAGAATTGAAAAAATAGGCATTCAGATAATTTTCTGTGCTCTGTGGTTCAGATGAGGAGCCTTGATTGATTCCTGTTAAGGAACGGTTAGATGGAGGCATATTCCTCTGCAGCCGTTAGAGAGACACAAACCTGCGTGTAGTAAAATGAAAGCATCGGATTGAGAGTCAGTGAAACGTTGAGAAAAGTAGAATAACATTTGTAGTGTGATCTGATTTTGTCTTAAATCCCAAAAGCAGAACGACAGCAATTGACTACATATGTTAATTTTGGGAAGGCCTAGAAGGTTTTCAATCAAAACTGCTAACAGTCAGTAGCTCTGCCAAGGCAAGTGTGGTTTGAAGAATTGGGGTAGAGCATGGTTGAAGATTTCTACTTTTTCTGTGTATCTCTGCAGTTGAATTTTTTTTTTTACAGTGACACCACTGGCACTTTTAATATGTAAGTAAATTTGTGATGAGTTCTGTGAAAGCATAATAAGGAAACCTCTTCTGGAGGAGTCATGTGAGTCTGTGGACGAGCTGTCATCCTGCGGGCTTTCTGCTTTGCAGGAACCTTCGGAGGATCCGGAAGTGCCAGCGTGGTCGAGAACAGCAGGAAAAGGAAGGGAAGGAAGGAGGAAACAGCAAGAAGAGCATGGAGAATGTGGATAGCTTGGATAAGCTGGAGTGTAGGTTCAAGCTAAACTCCTACAAGATGGTATATGTGATCAAGTCTGAGGACTACATGTATCGGAGGACCGCCCTGCTCCGGGCCCATCAGGTGAGGACCAGCCTGGCCTAGAGGCCGCGGGGCCTGGCTTTTCTTTTATGAAAACCTCCACTTCATTGGAGAGCTGTTGAGTAAGCAGGCGTGTTAGCCTGTTGACACCATGACAAAGGACCACACGGGTGCATGACCTACATAATCAGAAATGATTGTCACAGAGTTCTAGAAGCCAGAAGTCCGAGATCGGAGTGTTGCCGAGTAGGTTCGGGCCTACTGAGGGCTTCCGGGAGGATCTGCTCCTCCTCACCTGGGCCCTGTTGCTGTGCTGGCATCTTTGGACTTCTGTGGCTTGTGGATATTTGCCTTCCTGTCACATAGAGCTCTCCCTGTGTGCATGTCTGTCCAGATTTCCCCCTTTTAAAAGGATGCGAGCCATACTGCATTATGGGTTCACCCTACTACCTATGACCTCCTCTAAACTAGTTACATCTGCAACAGCCTTATTTCCAGAGAAGGTCCCATTCTGAGGTGCCGGGAGTTAGGTCATCAACATGTGAATTGGAGGGCAGGGAGCACAGTTCAACCCATGACAGCTGGTAGCACCTGCCAGCATTTCCTTTCAGGTGGTGCTGCTTGCATGAGGCCTCCCTGCACTCACACGTTACCTACACTGGGAGAGTATCCTGACGCACTTAGGTTACCAGGTATTGTGCCGGGCCCTGGAATAGAGCAGCCATGAAATAGAGCAGATAAGGGAATGTGATAAGCATGCCCAACAAAGAAACTAGGTGAAGTGACCAAGAGGAACCGATGTGCAGACCCGGCTTTTACTGGGTGAGACCTCTCTAAGGAGATGACACTTAAGGCCTGAACAGTGACAAGGATCCAGTCTGTTAAAGAGTTGGAGGCTGGTACTTTCTAGGCAGAGGAAACAAGCAAGTGCAAGGCAGGGAACGAGGAAAGCACTTGGCACGTGTGAGAAACTAAAACCATCTGTGGTTTGAGCCGTAGGAATGTGGGAGGTGTGAAGTTGGAAGGGTGGGCAGAGGCCACATTACTTAGTCTCATAGGCCATGGCTTGGATTTTGTTTGAAGTACATTGCGACATCGTTGACAGAGATAGCTTGGACTTTGTGAGGAGAATGGGACTGAGTGTGGGTACAAAGTTGGAAGGGCAGGGACAACTCAAAAGACTGCTTTTGTCCAAATGAGACCTGATGGTGACTCAGGCTAGCAGAAGGGTGGCATTGGAGTTGTGAGAATCAGACAGACGAGATGTAATTTGGAGATGCAGTGGCCAGGACGTGGTGTTGATCAGGTCAGCACCTGAGATAAGAGGAAGGAGAACATCAAGGAGGATGCCTGGCGGGCTTGGTTGTTTGGTTTGTTTTGCTTGAGTAAAGGGGAAGTTTAGGGGCACATCTGTTAATAGGAAGGTGTTACCAGGTTTGAGAGGCAGATCAAGCACTGTTTTGAATTGGAACATTAGAGTGGGAGATGTTGGGTGGGCACTTTAATGTACTTCTCTCGTGGTGCTGTGTGTTATATGTATGTCTCTGATTCAAATTATTTGGGGAACCGGGCAACCCCTAATCCATTCTTATCCCCTACTCTGCCTTGCATGTGGGCACCAGTACATATTTATGGGCAACATAGGTAGGAACGTGAACCTCCACTAGAGATGTGCTGTGCTGGGCACTCCGCTGGGTGTGTGTGGGGGGGGGTGCTGTGAACGGAGAGTGGGTCTGAAGCCTTCGGTTGCATGCCGTCTTCCTTAGCAGCGGATTGCCATGCAGATAGAAATGACCAACAGCCGCACTTGGGGTACATTAGAATCATTTGGGTTGCTGATTTTAAAATGCAGGTACTAATTGAAAGTAAGGTAGTTGTCGTGGTTTATCAGGTTGCCCAGGTGATGCTAATGATGCTAAAACTGAGAAGCACTGAGCTACTTCTGCCCAGACCCTGAGTTGACATTTCTTTGGGGGCTTAATGGGTTCCAACTCCTTACATGCTCTGTTCTTAACCTTTTCAGTTCTCTTCTTTAAACAGACTCCTATTGCCCTCTTTCTTTTCTTCCTTTCCTTTCCCTTCCTCTCCCTCCCTTCCTCCCTCTCCCTCCTCCTTCCTTCTTTCCCTCCCTCTCCCTCCTTCCCCCCTTCCTCCCTCTCCCTCCTTTTTCCCCCTTTCCCTTCCCCTTCTTTTCCCTTCCCCTCCCTCCCTCCTTTCTATTCATTTTTTACAACATCTTTGCTACTTTAGGAGAAAATTGGGCTTTGTATTTGAAGGGGATTTTCAATCCTAGTTCATGGTTTTTTCCTTGTTCTATTTTGCAGTCTCATGAGCGTGTAAGCAAGAGGCTTCATCAGAGGTTCCAGGCCTGGGTAGATAAATGGACCAAGGAGCATGTGCCCCGTGAAATGGCAGCAGAGACCAGCAAGTGGCTCATGGGTGAGGGGCTGGAGGGCCTGGTGCCCTGTACCACCACCTGTGACACAGAGACTCTGCACTTTGTCAGCATTAACAAGTACCGTGTCAAGTACGGCACCGTGTTCAAAGCCCCGTAACTGCAGAGCCAGAGCACATAAATTGAGGGAGGTGTGTGGGGGGTGGGGGTGGGTTCACTGATGGGCCCTCACACGCTGAAAAAATGAGGAAGATGCCTTTCAAGCCTCACTGGGCCTCTCTGGGACATGGCCACCAGATCCGTGTGTGGCTGGTGCAACCTGGCACCAAGTGGGCTATGTGTAAGAAACATGGGTACCTTACATGGCTGGAGCTGGAACTTTCCTCATGGGATTTGGGGTATTATCCTGCCCAGAGGGGAAGGAAATCCATGCAAGCAGAGAGACACTCAGCTTGCGTGCATACACCAGCAGAGCTAAGACTGGAGTTTCCCGGGGCCTGACCTTTGCTGAGGGAACCAGGTGCTGTTCACACCTTGACTGATGGGCGTGCATTGACAAAGACTGGGGGAGGACTCAACACTCAGATGGGTTGTAACTGATGGTCACTGCTCCTCCTCTCCTTTCCCCCCAAAAGGGGGAAAAACTGGATTTGATTCTTTACCTGGTCTCTCACTCGAGCACATTTAGAATTGATACAGGACCTGTGGTTTGGCTTTGGGATTGATCATCTCGTGGATCTGATTCCTGGCAAATCCCTCGCCGCCTTCCCTTTACACTCTCCTCTGGTTCTCAACCTCAACAAGTTCAAATCAGTTGTCCTTTTTAGCTCCCGTGGAACTGTTTTGTACCTGCTTCTTTACTAGTCTACCTTAGTGCCATCCACCAGCTTTCCTCTTGCTCACACACACACACACACACACACACACAATTTTAACTTGTTTTTTTTGTTTTTGTAAATAATGTACATACTGTCAATTTTTTATTAAAAGAAATATGCTTTGATGTGCTAGCATAACTGCTCTAGCTTCTTGTGTACCATAGTTCTATGTGGCTTCAGATTTAGTACCTATGAACAGGTGTACAAGACATTTATTACACTTTTTACCAAAGGGAGTTACTGTTGTAGTACTTTTGTGTAAAACTTGTCTTCCCCTTTGCCCCAACTTTTTTTTCTTTTTGTAAATAAATAAAGCTTGGTTCTTACTTAAGGAATAAACTTGCAACCCAAGTCCCGTGTCCTCAGAGGAGAACTATTGTGAAGCAGGGATTTGGTCTCAGTTCCTTATCCACGGTATTATTTTGCTTTAGTTAGCAGTCAACTGTATTTGTCTCAAGTCAAAATATCCCAGATTTTCATTCTTTTAGTACATGTTTTTTTTCCCCCCTTATTTCAACTGTTTGGAAATATTTTATATTTGTGTACGTTGTCCAGCTATATAGTTTGTATTTCTCTATATTTTTTCTTACCCTTATTGGAATTGGGGGTGAACAACTTAAATACCAAACCAGTATTTAAAAGAAGTGTGTATAAGTCGTGTGGTATAAATGGGGTTGGGAGGGAGCAGATTTAGTACATTTCATTAGCAACTGAAAATGGAATATATATTTTTTTAATTACATAAATTTAAACTGGCAGACATGAGTGATTAGGATTTTTATGTGTGGTCAGCCTGGACTTCTGGTGGGTTTTCCTTTAGCAACCATGACCCTAGTCATAGTTGTAAGTAACCAAGTGTTTTGTGTGGTTTTGTTTGCTTTTTAATTAAAAATCACCACCACCAAAAACCCACAAAATTTTGACTTCTGGACTTTCCAAATATATGTTAGACTTCTGATTTTAGATTTTTGTTTGTTGGGGGTGGGGTGGGGGGAAGATGACACAAGAGACCCTGAACCCAGAAATGTAGAGTGGGAAAAGAGCCTTGTGGGAGGAGATTGTGGGGTGAAGCTGAGGCAGTGTCTGACTTGGGGATAGAGTGAGACAGACTGATTGGGGAGGGGGAGAGCTTCAGGTTTTCCCAGCAATAACTCACATATTCCCCCTCTGCTCACTTCAGAAAAAGATCATGCTGACTTGGAATTACCAGGGAAAGTGAATTACCAGGGAAAGTGATGGGGCCCAGCTGTTGCTGGCCCTGCACAGCTGTGTTCCAGAGCTCCTGCTTGCTGGTCAGGGCCAGTTCAGGAGAAAATCTCAGTCCACCAGTGCAACCAAAAGAGGGGGGCTTCACCTACAACCAGGGTTTTCACAAGCACCATTTTTAATCCTCCTGCCTTCTGACATCTGAGCTCCAAGCTCTAAACCCAGCCTGTATTATAGCAGCAAGTTATCTTTATTTTAAATCATGTTTGATACTCTGTACTTAGTCACCTTTCCGTGTAATTTGCATTTGAAATGTTGTAAATTTGACTTGGTCAGTATTTTCATTAAAATATCAGGGCTAATGCTGTGTATATATTTTTCTTATTAATGATTTTATAGATAAGAACTCCCTGGTAATCCTAGGAGGCAAAAAACGCTGCCAGTGGATTACTAGGGTGACGTGAAAATTAAATTGGAGGTGTTTCTGGCATTATGGCCTCTCTGAACGCTGAACTGTATTTCCTGTGTGGTGAAATACAGTATTCTATTAGTATCTTCGAATGCTATGACTAATGTGCCACCAAGTCACAATCTTTCCAGAGTTTCTGGTGATGACTGACAGTTATTTACATAAAATAGTAGAGGAAGCAGCGGTTACTAGTGTGCAAATCCCTCTGTATTGAACAGCATGTCCATCCCTGGCGCCCTTGTTCTTTCCACGTTAAGCAAATAACGGGTTTTCGAGATAGCAAGAGGTTGGGCTGGGACTGGAGGGACAAAGGGTTGCTACTTGTTACTGCTGAGGCTGCGTGATCTCCATCTGCCGTGCCTGATGGACCCCCATCTCTGTCCGGGAACTTTTGGAGAATCCAAACGTCAAACTTTACATTTATATCGGGATTTGCCAGGTGGCCCGCTCACCAGACCGGACGAGATAGAGGAGAACCCCGGAAGCGCTGCTTTTATTAGTTTTCCGCGCCCGGCTCAAGTTCAGAGATGCGGTGTTGCAAGAACAACGGCCCGCGGCGGGAAGGCGCCTCCAGACGCCGGAACCTTTGGTTCCAGCCCGCGCTGGCAGCGCCCAGGACTTGGCGAAGAGAGGACGGCGCGCGGCTATGGCGGCGGTGGTGGCGCCGGCTCTGAAGCACTGGCGCACTACGCTGGAGCGGGTGGAGAAGTTCGTGTCGCCGCTCTATTTTACCGACTGTAATCTCCGCGGCAGGTGTGGCCCCTTTGTACAGGGCGCTGGCCGGCGCATCCGTGCGCCTCAGCCTTCCCTTCCGGGGGGATATCCAAACTGCGGCCACTCGAACTGAGGGAAAGTGCCAGCCCGCCGCGGACAGGGCAGGGGCTAGGAGGGGACGGGGAGGATGTGCTGTGGGGCAGCTCTCGGTGGTGGCTCGAGGGAACGCGTCTTACCCGCCGGCTGGTCCACGGGCGGAAAGGGGGCCTCGAGCGCGCGCCCACTGGTCCTTCCCGGCCAGGCTCTTCGGGGACAGCTGCCCGGTTACCGCGCTCTCCAGCTTCCTGACACCCGAGAGGCTTCCCTACCAGGAGGCAGTCCAGCAGGACTTCCGCCCCGCGCAGGTCGGCGACAGCTTCGGACCCACGTGGGTAACACCCAGAGGGAGCGTGGGGCCAGTGGGCCTAAGGGAAGTTCCCCCTCCTGGCTAGCTCGACACCTCGAGGTGCCACCCACACCTACATTGCCGCCCCTCTGCCTTAGCCACTTGGGGCAGAGCAGCACCCTCTGCTGGGAACAGCTCTCTGGTTCCTCAGACTTACTGAAAGACTTCATTTCCCCCTTTTACCTAGTTGCTGGACACCCCTTAGGAAAGGCACTCAAAGATTGATCACAGACCCCTGTCTCTTCTGCCTCTTTTCTTCACCATGCTGCACACCCCATGGCTTCTTTCAAAATCGTATATCTTGTGATGCAGATATTAGGGAAAGTCTCAAGCCCCTACTGACTTAATTCTCAGAAATACTGTTTCAAAAGGACACCATCAACCCTGAGGCCCATCTCAGTGGCTCTCTTGCAGATGGTGGACCTGTTGGTTCCGGGTAGAGCTGACCATCCCAGAGGCATGGGTAGGTCAGGAAGTTCACCTTCGCTGGGAAAGTGATGGAGAAGGCCTAGTGTGGCATGATGGGGAACCTGTACAGGTAAGGAGCCTTTTCCTAAGGACAGACATGGCCACATTTCAGTTTGTCTCTGGAGAAGCCACAGCTGAGTGGTTCTGCCTGCAGAGTGGTATCAGGATTTCCCAACTGGGAACGTTACTGCTTGCACCCCTGTGCAGTTGGTCCCTCTTTTTTTTTTGTAAGATTTTATTGGGAATTGGAGGAGGGGAACAGTGTTGGGGAATCCGGGGAAGGGGAACAGACAAGTTGCTCTCCTTCTCTTCTTCAGTCTAGTTGTGGAGGACGTTGCTTCACTGACCCATGTTGGTATTATCTTTGCCTCTTCCCGGGTGAGACAGATTGGTCGCCTGGCCATGGACGGCCGCTCATGGTGGCTCTTGGCAGCTCTCGCCAGCTGCCAGCCACTCATGCTGGCTGCCAGCCACACACAGTAGCTTATGGCAGCCCACTGCAGCAGGGGCTGCAGCCTACACCTTCACCAACTCACGGCAGCCCAGCTCCCGGTTGAGCTGTTGTTCACTATCTTAGCTGTAGAGGGCAGTGTCACTGGCCCTCATGTGGGATCCAAACTGGGGGCCCTGCTGCTCAGAGCTGGTGTCTCAAGCCAGCTCTTAACCAACGCGCCACTCAGCCAGCCCAGTTGGTCCCTCTTATACTGGAAGTTAAATGGATGACTTATGGGTTGCAACATAATTAGTGCTAAACCAACCCTACCACTCCTTGGCCACCTTCTCATTCTGGGCTGAAAATAGTTACTAATCAAGTGCAGTAATAAGTACAGCAGAATCATTTATTAACCCTCTGCTAGATGCCAGGCACTAGCCTAGTGGCTTTGCAGACCACATCACTGTTTAGTTTTTTGGGTTTTTTGTTTGTTTGTTTTACAGGTTTAGGTTTCGGGACAGGGTTATGGTTAGACTTAGGGACAGATTCAGGTGTAGAATTAGGAACAGGGTTAGGGTTAGAATTAGCGACAGGGTTAGGGTTAGGGACAGGGTTAGGGTTAACGACTGGTTCAGAAATAGGTTTCGGGAACTGTTTAGCTTTTAATGAACTAGTTTTTATTATCTATAATGTATAATTATGGGGGAAACTTGCAAATAATTCTGGATAGTATAAAGTAAAAATTAACTCCTCTTACCCCGAAGTAATGGATCTCTCCCTACCACCCCATCCCAATTCCCCAGATAGAACCAATGATTAAGTGTCTTGTTTATGCATCCAACCATATCAGGTCTAATCTATAATCCTATGTGGTGGGGTCTTTATGCCCTTTCACAGATTAAGAAGCTGAGATGTATAGCGATTAGTTCACTCTATATATAAAGAGTTTCTATATAGAGAGGTTTTCTATAGAAACTCGATATATAGAGTTTCCATGCCAGTTGGACTCTTCAGGCTCAAGGTAGGACTGTTGTCCTTCCTATATGGAAGGATGGCAAAGACCTGTCCTCTCCCTTTGTTGGCTTGGTAGGTGTCTCCTGAATGCCCTCTCTGGGCTAGGCCCCAGGCTAAGCACTGGGAATAGAGCAGGGAATGAGGCAGACCTGTCCCTGATTTCAAGAGTTCCTTTCAGATACTCAGGAATGCAGAGGCCGCCAGAAGCCACGCCCAGGTCTCCTGATGCCTGCCCAAGACCCTCTCCATAACACCAGGGTCTTTTCTGCTGGTGCCATTTGGTGGTCATGGCATTGGCTGCCATGGGGATTGGGGTACCTGGTACCATCAATCTTGGCCTTGCTGGGAGAGAGAAGCCAGAACTGGAGCTAGGCAGAGGAGCCTGGCCTCCCTCGGCTTATACTTCACCTGTATTGTCCAAAAACTCAGGCCCAGTCCCTTTTGCTCCACTTCCACCAGGGTTTGACCAAAGAGGGAGAGAAGACCAGCTATGTCCTGACTGACAGTCTGGGGGCAGGAGACCCCCGGAGGTGAGTGAGTCCCTGTGCCCTGGTTGACCAGGACTATGGGGGTGGGGGTGGGGGAACCACAGTGGGCGAGGACACATAAGTGGGTGAGGAAGAGCTGAGGCCCAGAATGATCTTGGAAACACACCTACCTCCAGCATAACCATTCTCAAATCTATTTCTTTTTTAAAAGAGGGATTTTTTTTTCCTGGCTATAAAAATAACACTTGCTTTCTTATGGTAAATACAGAAAAGCAGGAAGAAGAAATACCTCCCGTTATCCCACCACCTAGAGATGCCCATTATTCACATCTAGGCATTCATCTCAGAATTCTCCCAGGCATAGTTTTTACTAGTTGAGGTTGTATTTCTTTGATAATTTGCATCCTGATGTTTTTTTCATTCCTTGTTATAACACAGGCTTTTAATGAAACCATTAAAAACTCTTTCTTAGACTTTATGATTGTATGTTACAATATTTATTGAACACTGTGTCTGGTACTTCTGGACACTGGGATTGATGGTGAGTGATGTGGTCCCTCACAGCCAGGAGACTCATATATACGTACACAATTACAAAACTGATGAGGACTCAGAGAAAATACTGGGTTCTCAGTGTGAGAACTCTGTTCCAGACTTAGGAGAGCAGCTGGAGAAGGGGCAGGGAGGGCTGCCCTAAATAAGTCATGTTTGCTGTCTGAAGACTGTAGAACAGCATCACAGCCCACCATGCTGCTCCAAAGAATGTCCCATCCCGTATTGGTTGATGGGACTTTGCCCTAGGAGATCCAGACATGTTTTTAATATGCAGAAAGGGTTCTGAGACTAAGGCAATGCCCGTAAAGACAACTTTGGGAACAAAAGGCTAAACAGCAGCATGATTCACACGGTTCCAGGCTGGGCTGCTTGTTCTTGCCAACCATGGCAGAGCTCTCATCATCGCAACGTGGGCTCAGACTGGTGCTTCTGTGGCCTTCTCGCACATGCACCTGACCTATTGTGGGATCTTCTGGGTGGTGGGTCCTGGAGGTAAATGGGGAGGGGTTGCCTGGATGCCTCCTCAGACCTCCCTCCCCAAGCCCCCAGAGGCCTCTGCCAGACCCTTGTCCTGAGGCTGCCTCCCTATGTTTGTAGCCTGACCCTCTATGTGGAAGTGGCCTGCAATGGTCTCCTGGGGGCTGGCAAGGGAATGATGATTGCAGCCCCTGACCCAGAGAAGATGTTCCAGGTGAGCCGGGCCGAGTTGGCTGTGTTCCACCGGGATGTCCATCAGCTCCTGGTGGACCTGGAGCTGCTGCTGGGCATCGCCAAGGTACTTGACACCCCACCCCACCTGGCAACTCTCTAGAGAGCTCCAGGCAAGTGGTTTCTTGGGTCAGATAGTTGGGACTCTGGGAATCCCAAACAGGGAGATTGTTTCTGCCTGCCCCAGTGCTGAGGATTTCTCTGAAGGGGAGGAGGGAGACAGTGTTGAGCAGGGGGACCAGAAGGAAGAGGGTGGAGATAGGGTGGAGCTCTGCTGAGAACCCTTGGAGATCAGTTGGGACCAGTTCTGGAGATGGGATTAAGGAGCAGAACCCTGCTGCAGGGCCTCGGGGAAGACAGCCAGCGCAGCTTCCAGGCGCTGTACACAGCCAACCAGATGGTGAACGTGTGTGACCCCACCCAGCCCCAGACATTCCCGCTGGCCCGGGACCTGGCCTCCAGGTTCTTCCGCCAACGTGGAGGTGAAAGCCAGCATACCATCCATGCCACGGGGCACTGCCACATTGATACAGGTAGGGGGGCAGCTGGCTGGGTTGGCTGGGGAGACAGGAGTACCCTGGAAGCCCTGGCTGTGAGGATCTCTATGAGATCCTCAGCAAGTTCTTGCCTCTTGGGCCTCAGTTTTCTCCATCTGTAAAATGGGGCAAGGGGCTTGGACCATGGGCTTTGCTGGGTGTGGCTTCATTTATTCTTTCAACAAAATCTGATGCCCATGTGACCCCAGGCTAGGTACTGGGTAGGATTATAGAGACTGATGATCACAAAATGGGCAGACACAGTTGGTGCCATGATGGAGGGAAGTATTGGGGTGCTGGGGAGCCCAGAAGAGGCACTTAACCCAGCTGGGTTGGGGGGATTCAAGAGAGACTTTCAGGAGGAGGTGACTGAACTGAGTGAGAATGAATAAGAGTTTGACAAGGTGTCCATGTCATCAGAGAGGAGTGAGTGATGTGGAAGTAATTGAGATGGGGGTTTAGGTGCCGGGGGAGGTTTCCTAGGGAGGATCAGGGGTTCAGTTTTGAACCTGATGAGTTTGCAGTTTGTGAGGCTTATGGGAAGTCCACATTTTTGACAAGCTCCCTAAGGTATTGGATCTGATGCAGCTAAAGTTTCAGGACCAGAACAAGGGCTTTCTCTGATAGGCCAAGGTGTGGGGTGGAGGGTGGGGCTGTGGGCTGGTAAGGAAGGAACCGAGGCCTAGTGCTCAGGAGAGGCTCCAGTGCTTCACATGGGATGGCTGACCAGCACGGTCCCTCTTGGGGAGCTGTGCCCTCTGTTCTGAGATATCCATCAGTGTGTGTTAGAGAAAGGGTTAACCCAGGGTTAACCTGCTTTTTACAGGATCCTCTCTGGGGGTGTCTAAACCTCAGAGAAGCTATTTCAGGGTGCAGGGCCTTCATTTCCTGACGTGTAAAATTGACCCGATAGCCCTAGTGGTCTCCCTTCCCCAACCTCTATCCCACCTTGCAGAGGTGATTTGAAGTGACAGCTCAGGAGGGGTGCCACAGGCTACCAAAGGAAGGGCCAGCCTGGGGTGGGAGGAGAGCAAGGATGGCCCTCAAGGTCCAGGCTGGGCCTGGTTGGGGTATGGGGAGACGGGTGAGGCTGGAGATCTGTGTGGAGCTGGGGACCTTGCCACTCTCCCTCCACCCTCCGCCTCCTTTCCATCTAGCCTGGCTTTGGCCTTTCAAGGAGACTGTGCGGAAATGTGCCCGGAGCTGGGTAACAGCCATGCAACTCATGGAGCGGAACCCTGAGTTCATCTTTGCCTGCTCCCAGGTCAGTGGGACAGCCATGTGGGGCACCAGGAGCCCAATAGGTCTGAGAGGGAGGTTCCGGGGGCTACCCTGGCCTGAGAGGCAGGGCTCTTCTCACCCTCAGCTGTGCCCTGGGTCCCAGATACTTGGCCTGGGAGGGGTCCTTGTCACTCCCGGTGCAGCTCCCTCCCCGTCTGCCTCTCAGGCGCAGCAGCTGGAGTGGGTGAAGACCCACTATCCTGGCGTGCACGCCCGGCTCCAGGAGTTCGCCTGCCGCGGGCAGTTTGTGCCTGTCGGGGGCACCTGGGTGGAGATGGTAAGTGTGGTCTGCACATGCTCAGCCTCTGGCCACTGTCATGGGCTTCCCTCCTTGGCTCTGTGGCTTTCTGCAGGCCCTTTACACCCTTCTGTGCTGCGCTTATTAGTCCCTGGAATTCCAAGGGGGAGGAGGGTCTCAAGCACTGTCCTTCCACGACCCAGAAGCTCCCCTCCAGCACACAGACAGAGGTGGACACCTGGGTGCTGGCTCTAACTCCTGGGTCAAAGCCCTGGCTTGTCCTGACGGGGTGGGTTGGCCTGAGCTCCTGCCTATCCCCACCTGGCGCTGACCCCAGCTGCCTCACTCTTCCCTTTGCCAGGATGGGAACCTGCCCAGTGGAGAGGCTATGGTGAGGCAGTTCCTCCAGGGCCAGCGCTTCTTTCTGCAGGAGTTCGGGAAGATGTGTTCCGAGGTAGGCTAGGAGCTGCTGTGCCTGCAGGTAGATGGGGCTGGAGCTTGACCTTGAGTGATGAGGGCCTGAGCCTGGGGCTGCTGCACCAAGGGCCCTGGTTCTCGCGCCCAGAGGCCCTTCTCCCGCACAGTTCTGGCTGCCAGACACATTTGGCTACTCAGCTCAGCTCCCCCAGATCATGCGCGGCTGTGGCATCAGGCACTTCCTGACCCAGAAACTAAGCTGGAATTTGGTGAACTCCTTCCCGGTGAGCAGACCCCAGGGGGTCCCATTAGATTGGGCCTGAGCCCCACCTGGCCCCTTCACCTCTTCCCAGGCTTATTCGGGGTCCTGGACAAACCACCTACCCCCCACCCAGAGAGAACATGCCTCCTGCAGGGTCACACAATGGGCAGGGAAGATCTGGAAGGCCCAACCCTGCCTCAGCCCTGATGTTGGCCTCTCTCCTCTGCCTCTGTCTCCCTACCTGAAGCACCATACCTTTTTCTGGGAGGGGCTGGATGGCTCCCGTGTGCTGACCCACTTCCCACCCGGTGACTCATACGGGATGGAGGGCAGTGTGGAGGAGGTAAGAGGGTACCTAGTGGCTGAGGTGGGACTCTGGGGGATGGGGAAGGCTGGAGAGGGCTGGGTGTCTTGTCCTAGGCTGACTCATGCTGACCTGACCTGCCCCTGCCTGTTCAGGTGCTGAAGACAGTGGCCAAAAACCGGGACAAAGGGCGAACCAACCACAGTGCTTTCCTCTTTGGCTTTGGGGATGGGGGCGGTGGCCCCACCCAGACCATGGTGGACCGCCTGAAGCGACTGTGCAATACAGATGGGCTGCCCAGGTCAGGCCTGGCCCACCTGCAGCCCTCACTAGCTGCTCACAGCCCTGTCCACAGCCCTTGGCTTGAGCCCTTCTTTCTGCTCTAACATTTGGCTCCACCCTCCACTGGGCCTGTCCTCCAATCCTGGACCTTGGGCTCCTCCCACCTTCCACTTTGGCGGGGGTTGGGGGGTTGTGAGCTGAAGGTGGGAAGGGGCTTAAACTCACCAGAGAGAGAACTCTCGTGGGGTGTCCAGAGCCGGCTTTGTGTGGACTGGGAGCGTTCTAGGGGTGGCTCCTTTCTTTGGGGGCTGCATCTCTTGTCCGTTCTGGTGTGGAAGAATGATGAGCTAGGCTTGTGGTCTACCTCAGGGTGCAGCTGTCTTCTCCCGGGCGACTCTTTACGGCACTGGAGAGTGAATCGGGGCAGCTGTGCACATGGGTCGGGGAGCTCTTCCTGGAGCTGCATAATGGCACCTACACCACCCACGCCCAGGTCAGGAGCTGGTCACTCGGCTGAGCGGGGAGAGTGAGCCCTTGATCTGGGTCAGTGAGGAGGCAGGAGACAGAACCCCCCAGACCTGGGGGAGGAGGCTGAGAGGAGAGAAGTGCAAGAGCTCGGTTGGGTCGGGAGCCTGGAGTTAGGCTGTGTCACCCACAGGGGGCTTCATCCAGGGGGACTTGCAGAGCCGTGGGGCTCGGGGCCAGGGAGGACTTTGGAAGGTGTCCTGGGATGCTTGAGCAGACTCTTGACTGCCACTCTCCCCGACCCCCACTGTCCCGGCTCAGATCAAGAAAGGGAACCGGGAATGTGAACGCATCCTGCACGACGTGGAGCTGCTCAGCAGCCTGGCCCTGGCCCGCAGTGCTCAGTTCCTATACCCGGCAGCCCAGCTGCAGCACCTCTGGAGGTCAGCCTGGCTCTGCCACCCACCTGCCCTCACCCCACACACCTGTGTGGCTGCCCCCCCAGCCCTCCTCCCGCCCTTCCCCATTCCTGCCCTTGGCTCCTCCAGGCTCCTGCTCCTGAACCAGTTCCATGACGTAGTGACAGGAAGTTGCATTCAGCTGGTAGCAGAGGAGGCCATGTCCCACTATGAAGGTCAGGCTGCCCTCTCCAACACCCAGGACTAAGCCCACAGTGTCCCCTGTGGGACACTCGGAGGGCATCCCAGACCCTCTGCCCACCCATGACCTACCAGTCTCTCCTCAGACATCCGTTCCCATGGCAACACACTGCTCAGCACCGCAGCGGCAGCCCTGTGTGCTGGGGAGCCAGGTCCTGAGGGTCTCCTCATTGTCAACACACTGCCCTGGAAGCGCACTGAAGTGCTGGCCCTGCCCAGGCCTGGCGGGGCCCACAGCCTAGGTATGAGCTCGGGAGGGGCTGCTCCGCAGCAGGAGGGATCGAGGCCAGCCACACTCCCCTAGGCGTCTCTGCCTCGTGCCCCAGGCTGGAGAGCAGCATGAGGGGGAGAGGCAGCTCCCCCAGCCCCTCCCACTGTGTGAGGCTGCACTAATGCCCAGGCATCGTCCCCAGCCCTAGTGACAGTGCCCAGCATGGGGTATGCTCCTGCTCCCGCCCCCACCTCACTGCAGCCCCTCCTGCCCCAGCAGCCTGTGTTCGTCCTGCAAGAGGTGAGTTCCGGCACATCAGGTGGGGCGGGGGCTGCCCTGGGCCACCCTTAGGGGGCTTCTGAGCTCCCTGGTCTGGAGCAAGTGGTAAGGCAGGGCTGGGGCTAGGCTAGGGGGCTGTTTGTGGGAAGCCTCTGCCGACTCAACTTCAAGGCCTTTTCCTGCCAAGACTGATGGTTCTGTGACTCTGGACAACGGCATCATCCGGGTGAGGCTGGACCCGACCGGCCGCCTGACATCCCTGGTGCTGGTGGCCTCTGGCAGGTGCCAACCCCTCACTGCCCTCTCCCAGTGCCTGGCAGTTGGGCTCTAGACCCCGTTCCCTCTGTTCCCTGGCCCCAGCACTGCCCACAGCAGCCCATCAGTGGCTCTGGGCTGGGACCTAATCATGGAGCAGGGCAGGCTGGGCTGGGAGACCTGTCCCTTGGGCCTACTCACCCTGCCCCCACTCTACCTTGGGCAGCTGGAGAGACCAAATTTATACAGATGTAAAGCACCAATCATCTCCTTCCAGGGAGGCCATTGCCGAGGGTGCCGTGGGGAACCAGTTTGTGCTGTTTGATGATGTCCCCCTGTACTGGGATGCGTGGGACGTCATGGACTACCACCTAGAGACAAGGTGCAGTGGGCAGGACGTGGCGGGGGGTGGGGGTGCGCATACAGGCCTATGGCTCCCCCTCCACCATCAGCAGGCCCCTGCTCAATGCCTCCCACCCCTACCCCACAGGAAGCCAGTGCTGGGCCAGGCAGGGACCCTGGCAGTGGGCACTGAGGGCGGTGTGCGGGGCAGCGCCTGGTTCCTCCTGCAGATCAGCCCCAAAAGCCGACTCAGCCAGGAGGTTGTCCTGGACGTCGGCTGCCCCTATGTCCGCTTCCACACCGAGGTACTGGGGGCAGGGTAGGGGTTGTCTTCCCCGGGTATGTCTGGCCCCCCCCTCACCCCTTTACCCCCACTGCAGGTGCACTGGCACGAGGCCCACAAGTTCCTGAAGGTGGAGTTCCCTGCCCGCGTGCGGAGCCCCCAGGCCACCTATGAGATCCAGTTCGGGCACCTGCAGCGGCCCACCCACTACAACACCTCTTGGGACTGGGCGCGATATGAGGTCTGACATGGGCTGGGGAGGGCCTAGCTGTGTCGGGTGGGGGAGGAGCACGTGTGCTGAATGCTTCATGTTTAGTTGGATGCTTGTGCCTCCTGTTCAGTTTGATACTAGGCCTCCTGTTGTTGTTGAGAGCTGGAATTCAGTCCTGGGGTCCCAGACCTTGCCCTCACTCTAGTGATAGGAGGTGGGCCCCTAAGTGCACCGGACTGTCTGCCCTCCAGGTGTGGGCGCACCGCTGGATGGATCTGTCAGAGCACGGCTTTGGGCTGGCCCTGCTCAACGACTGCAAGTACGGCGCGTCAGTACACGGCAACGTCCTCAGCCTGTCGCTGTGAGTGTGGTGCTGTGAGTGCGGTGCCCGCCAAGTCTGGGGGCGGGATGGGACCGCGGGTCTTCCCGGGCCAGATTTCCAGTCCATCCCATTCCCCCTCCCCGCAGCTTGCGGGCACCCAAGGCCCCTGACGCCTCTGCTGACATGGGGCGCCACGAGTTCACCTACGCGCTGATGCCGCACAAGGGTGAGTGCCACCGCGCCCCTTCTCGGAGCCTCGCCTTCTCCAGAGGCCCCTCGCCCCTGCCCCCATTTCCACCATGTACCCCTTTCCGGCCCGCACCTAGGTTCCTTCCAGGACGCTGGCGTTATTCGCGCGGCCTACAGCCTCAATTTCCCCCTGTTGCCCCTGCCTGCCCCGGGCCCGGCGCCCGCCGCTGCCTGGAGTGCCTTCTCAGTGTCCTCGCCGGCAGTTGTGCTGGAGACCGTCAAGCAGGCAAGGGGAGGGGCGGGATGGGGCCCGAGCTGGGTTCCCCTGGGCCCCGCCCACCGCCTACCTCCCACCTCCCTCCGCAGGCTGAGACTAGTCCCCTGGGCCGCACGCTGGTCCTCAGGCTGTACGAGGCCCATGGCAGCCACGTGGACTGCTGGCTGCAAACATCACTGCCGGTTCAGGAGGCCGTCCTGTGAGTGGGGTGCGGGGTGGGGGTGGGGGTGGGTGTCCTGCCCCTCACAGGGCCCTCATGGTCCCTCTTTTTCTCCAGCTGCGACCTCCTGGAACAGCGCGACCCTGCTGGCCACTTGCCCCTTATGGACGCCTGCCTGAAGCTCACCTTTTCGCCCTTCCAAGTGCGATCCCTGTTGCTCATACTGCAGCCCCCACCAAACTGAGTCCCTGAGGGTGGGGTTTGTTTGTGGAAAGCTTTGGGGGCTCCCCCTCTTGCCTCCCCAGCCTGATGCCAGGATGAATCTCCTCTCCAACAATAAATCCTGGGCTTAGGAACCCTGCTGGTAGCCCCTGCTCTCTCCCCTTAGGGCCCATCTGCAGGCTTTACCCCAGGCATTTGGGGACAGGGGCAAAATCTGAGGTGATCTGTGTGTAGGGTCTGGGTTGCAGCCCCATGAGAGTGGGGATATAAGTGACCCTGAATGGACTAAGCATGAGGTAAGAAGCCCTGCAGCAGGCAGCGGGCTGCAGCTGGTGGGTTCTTGCTGGCCCCCACCAGGAAGGGAGCACTGCCCAGTCAGGGCCAGGCTGAGGAGCCCTGGGCTGCCTGGGGCCAGGGTCTCTGCACCCTGGGGAGCTGTCCCTGCAGAGGTAGACTGTCCTCTGAGAGCCAGGGCCTTAAGGACCAGAAGGGGGCTCAGTCTGCCTTGTGGAGGAAGTGGCTCCCCTGTCCTCAGGGCCAGGCAATAGGTCCTCCTAACGGCCATCCCAGATCTTCTGCAGCCAATCCAAGAAGTTCAAGTTTATCAACTTATGTTTTTTAAAATATAGCATGTTTCACATGGGCTTAAAAATGGGGAAAGTGGGATAGAGTTGAAAACATTGTAGTTGTATAGGGAACAGCCATGGGGCCATAGGCATCCAGCCCCCTTCAGTTACAGCCTGCTTCTAGGAAGCCACAGGCCTACAGACCCAGGGAAGGCAGCGGGAAGGAGTGGATGCAAGCTGGGAGATCCTCCTGCTAGGAGGCTGAGGTCCCCTCAGGCTCCAAAGATGGGATGTCAGCGTTGATCTTCTGGGGTCTGCGGCAGCCTGGGGCAGGGGCACAGGTGAGGTGGCAGCTCAGACCCCAGGCTGAGGACTGCCTTGACAGCCTCCCTCCCTCCTTCGTCCACACCAAATTCCCTGGAGAGCCGCTGTGGGTGGTGCCCCTCCATCCCCAAAGGAGAGTGCTGAGGAAGGCCCACCTGAGGTTGCCTGTTGCCCCCTCCTCTTCCTTTTCTCAGCAACTGGGGGGACTTCTGGGTCCTGCTGGAGGCTAGTCCCCTCAGGCAGCTGGGCTGTAGTTTGCGACGGAAGGCCTCTCCGTGCCTTTCGTGTCCTGGAAGGGGGCTTGCTTGGAGGTGGAGGGTCCTGGGTGGGAGAGATACAGGTTCCTGAGGGGCTCAGAGACCAGAGTTTGGTTAGGACCCACCACTGCCCCCCCCCATTGTCAACGGGAGCCCAAAAGGCGGCCTGGGAGGTGGGCCAGGGAAGGGGAGAGTGCAGGGAGGAACTGGGAGCGGGAGCTACCTCCATTCTGTCCTCAGGACTCCGCGGTGCTCCCTTGGGTTTCTTCTTTTGGGACTTGTCTCCTGCAGGACACGGACGCTGGGGTGGCAAGGTCCCATCTCTCGGGCCCTTTCTCCAAGTTCCCACTCTCCCACTCAGGTAACTCCCAGGGTTGGCGTGGGGACCAGGGACTGCTGCAGGCAACTCGTCCCTTCTGCTCCCTGAACTTCCTATATTAGGAGTAGCTTACCTTTGGGTGCCAGAGGTCCAGGATCCCCCTAAAATGGAATGGGGAGAATTCAGGGATCAGCCTGATTGGGGCAGGGATTGTTTTCCCTTGGAGAGGCAGGATTCACTGATCCTTCCAGATCAGTGTAGCTCCTCCCCTTGGAAGCCTCTGACCCACCCCCACTCCCTGCCAGATCAGAACCAGCATCAAAGCCACCCTGCCTTGGGCTGCTTGCTCCACTGGCTGGGACCTCTGGACTCAGAGGATGGGAGGGGCATTCCATAGGGAAGGCTTAGACTCAGGCACAGTGACCCTTGGGGACCTGCCCGGCTGTGACCCCAGGTCTATCCACCATACCCGCCTCCTTGGGGTCTCTGTCTGCCTGTGCGAGCATTAGGGCTCAAACCTGGAACCAGATGGTACGGTTGTGCCGGTCCCGAAGGGAGCTCATGCCGGCCATGCCATAGCACTGCAGCCAGGCTCGAAAGGCTGTGAAGTCCTCCTCCCCGCTCTCCTGCCCATAGCCCTTGCCCCCTGTGGACAGAAGAGCCAGGCAGAGGTCAGAGGTCAGACTCAGGTAGAGGAGGGGGAGCCTGATGGACTGAGAGGCCACGCTCTCCCTTCTCCAGCTGTTTGGCCTCAGGCTGGTGTCTTCCCCACTCCGGGCTGTGGCTTGCCCATCCTGGAGGAGGGTTAAGAATCCTGCCCCACTTGCTTTGTGAGCAGCTTGGAGGACATAGACACCTGACGAGGAGGAGGCCTAGTCCACTTAGCAACAACTAAGTCTACAAACTTCCGTTTCCCAGGCAGGGAACTGGGCCCAGACAGGCGCAGCAGCTGTCCCAGGGTTACATTATGCTAAAGCAGAGGTAGTTGGGTGTCTCTGCCTCCCGGGTCTCACCCAGCTGGACCACTTCCTTGGGCACTGAGTGGCACAGCTCCAGCAGGTCCGGGTTCTGCAGCTTGGCCCTGATCTTCTGGCTCAGGGTCAGCTCCGGTCTCTGGAGAAGGGGCAGGGTTGGGGCCTGGCTGTCAGCATGAGGCAGCTGACCCCCAGGGAGCAGGACTCAGAGGTGGTTATCCTCATCCCCACCCCCAACACACACATTGTAGAGAAGGGAAAACAGTCCTGAGGCCTAGAAAGGACCTGCCTGCATGAGCCACATGGAGACACCTGGCCCAGCACCCCTGGTAGACCTGGCTGACAACTGTGTGCCTGCCTCCCTGCATGCTCACCGGCCTGCGCTGCTGCAGGGCCTCCAGAACCGTGCGGGCCTTCTCAAAGGGGGGTATCCTCAGCCTGCAGGGGGTGGGGAGGGGGCCATGCTAAGCAGCGGAAAATGCGGGGCACCCCAGCCCTCCCTCGTGCCCAGGACCAGCCTGCTAACCGATATAGAATCTCTGCCCGCAGGTAGTTGCCAATGCCATTGAAGAACCTCTGGTCCAAGAGGGCCTCGCAGATGGGCCGGTCAAAGGCCTTGTCCGCTAGGTTTCGTAACACGTTCTCTCTGGAGGGAAACAGCCTGGGCATGAGAGACCCATTCTCTCCTTCCATTCCCCAGCTCGCCGTGGGATGGGGGAGAGAAGCTGGGGGAACCTGTTCCTAGGTCCCAGTTCCCCTTCCCCCAGCCTCAGTGCTGTTTTGACAGTGGGAACCTCAGTTTTCCTATCCGTTAAATGGGGAAAAAACAGGATTTTAATTCATTATGAAAGGTAAAAAATGCAAATCAAAAACAAGTTCAAGAGAGCACACATGAGTCTGTATCTGTTGTGTGTATACCACTAGAGTGCCTCAGACTCCAGACATTTTTGAGCGCAAGGTGATCGCAGGACCTCAGGTGCTCCTGCCGTCTGGAGCGCCCTGTCTGGAACTTCTGGTTAGTTAGATATGAGGAATTGACATTTGTGGGGTCAATTCTTCTCAAGACCTAAGGATTCCAAGGAGGCTGGTACTAGCTCTGTGCAGCAGGTATGTGTGTGTAGGGGTGGGGGGAGTGCAAATCCTGGCTAGTGATGGCCCCAGGAGCCCCCACCCCACTCCCAAGGATTATGGGTCTCCTCACCACTGTGTCATGGCAAGACTGGCTCAGTGATGGACCTGAAGAGCATCTTAAATAGAGGACCCACAGACAGTTTTGGGGTGAAACAAAGAGCAGAAGGTTAGCCTGGATGGCGAGCTCCCCGAGGGGAGTAGATTACCACAGGCTTCCCAGCTATAGGACCAAGGAAATGACCGAAATGCTCATTGTGTGATAGGAACTTCAGAGCCAGCTGGCCAAGAGTTAAATTGTGGCATGACTCCCTGGGAGAGGTGAGGTGGAAGAATCCAGGACCACAGATTGTGTCCCTGGGGCTGCACGTGGGTCATGCCAGGGAAGGCCAGGTAGCTTCTGTGGCACCAGACACCCTAAGCCACCCCAAGGGGCAGCCAAGTCTCCTCGGGGCCAATGAAGATGAGCCTCCCCAAGCAAGGGAGGACCTGCCAGATGTGCTCCAGTTTGAATGCTTTTCCTCTAGAGCTTTGCATGGCTGGCTCTCAGCCAGGCCTCAGCTCAAACGTCATGTCCTAGAGTGGCCTTTCCTAATGCCCCCACCTCCCTGGGTCAAAAGTCCTTCTCTCTTAGATTCTTCCTTCAGGCATGTGTCTATTTGAATTTACAGTAAAACCTTGGATTGCGAGTAACTTGGTTTGTGAGTGTTCTGCAAGACGAGCAAACATTTCTAATACATTTTAACGTGGTAAACGAGAGATGTCTTGCAATATGAGTAGTTTGTTTCCGGAATGAATTATGCTCGCAAATCAAGGCATTACTTTATCTAGTTTGTTTCCTTGTTTCCCGTGCCCTGCGTGAACTTCAGCTCTGTGAGGGTAAGGACCACATCCATCTTGATCACTGCTGTACCCCCAACACCTAGAGTAGGCCCTGGCATGAAGCAGAGACATTTCCTCTTTAGAGGAAGGGAAGTGGCTGACACTGTACCATCATATGTGACCTGTAGCACATCCTAGGTAGGGCTGTTACCCCTCCCACGGGCAGGAGACAGTCACAGAGGAGACCATGAGAGAGACACCAGTAAGCAGGCAGAATGTGGGCGACCACAAAACCTGATTCAGAAATCATGTCATTAGGCAGTCCCTTCCCTACCACCTTGAACCCCCTCCTTCCTGTTCCTCCTTAGCTCCCTGAGGGCACCAGGAAGCAGTGTTAGGTGCCATCTAACTGGCTCCATCCTCAGGGCATGCCTACCCATCCATCCACCTCTTCCCACATCAGTTTTGGGGTTCCACATCCATTACCTCAGGGAGCTGTCCCCAGGGAAAGAGACTGCCTTGGTCTCCAGAGGAGAGGACTGAGGCTCAGAGGGGGTTGGGACTTGCCCCTAATGGGCCAACAAGGCACTGACAGAGCCCAGGGTTGTGCATCACACCCGGTGCTGGCCCCACCTGAACTGCTCATACTCCAGCAAGACGCATGGCCCGCGGCCTGGCTGCCACTCGCCCCCGAGGTCCCAGTGACCGAAGCGGCGGATGTCCACGAAGCAGAGGGCGCGCCGGGGGCCGGGTGGAGCTGTGTAAAAACGCAGGTGAGCGTGGGCGGGCAGCGCATCGCTGGGCGCCAGCTGGAAGGAGCCCGACATGCCGAAGCGGAAGACAAGTGCCAGTGGTTCCCGTGGGGGCTGGGCCCCCAGCAGGGGGCTCAGTGTCAGGCGCAGCTCCTTGCCTCGGGCTGACGCTGAGATGTGGTAGGCACTGCTCTCAAAGGGCACCTCAGGGTTGCGGCTGATGGGTGACTTCTCCACACACCCGCCAAACACCAGTCCTCTGCAGGCTTCGTTCACAAAGCGGCTGGCCAGGTGCAGCTCGGGGCCCTCAGGCATTCTGTGCGGGAGGAGGACAGCAAATTGGGCCAGGTGTGCGCCTTGTGAGGTAGGAATTATCACCCCATTTACAGAGAAGGCGCCTAAGGATCACAGGGGACCACGGACAGCTGAGCCCTCGGCCCCCACCTGAAAATGCCACTGCGGAGCGAAGGCTGGGAAAGTGTGACTGCCTTGCTCCTTAACACCTTCCTCGGCCTTCCACGAACCCCTGCTGCTTCTAGAATAAAGTCCAGATCTTTCCCGGGCCCACACTCATCTGATTTCTTCCCAGGCTCCCCCTCGCTTGCTCCATGCTCTTCCTGGCCTCACACCAGTGCCCCTGCTGTCTCCTCTGTCTGGGAACACTTGAGCTGCCCCCCCGAACACCCTTTCAAGGTAGCATCCCCACTCCCCCAGACACACACGTTCTCTTCCTCCCAGCACTCCCAAATCTGAAAGCGTCCTGTCGTTGTCCGCCGCCGCCGCCGCCTCCACTCCCACCCCAGAGAACGCTCAGCTTGCTCGCCACCGCCCGGCTCGGCCTCCTGTGTTGCCACACCACTGAAGGAACGAGCCTAGCCCTGCCTGGGAGGCGAGCACCAGGAAAACTAACGCTCAGAGGCTCAGTTGGCAGTAAGGCGAAACCCAAGCGAGGTCAGGCGAGGGGCTGTAGGTGACTCCGGGTACGTCTGCGCAGGAGCTAGGTCCCCGCGGCTGTGAGGGAGGGCAGGGGAGCCAGAAAGGTCTCTGTGAGCTCCAGGCCCAGGTCGGAAAAGAACGCACTCCACCTCCTCTCCCTACTCCTGCCCACCTGGCGGGGGAGGGGAGCTTGCCGCTTCCTTTTCCCCTCCTTCCGCGACGCGGCGGGATGGAAGGCTTAGGTGTGGTCGGACAGAGTGGGATTGGCCAGTACAGACTCCTTTCCCCTCCCCGACTTCCGCGCCGCCCGGGACCAGGCACCCGAAAGGGTTCGCTCCGCGGGAAAAGGACGGTCCAGATTCCTAATTCCGCGAGGGGCAAGCGCTCTATGGCCGGCCCCCCAAACCCTCGCCACTCACCCCGCTGCCTGTCCTCGGTACTCCCTGGCTCCCTTCTTCCCCAAAGTCCCCAAATCTCATCCTCCTCAGGCTTTGCGGTACACACCCCCGGTGGTTCCCCGCCCCGGGGGTACCTACTCCCCACGCCAACCTGCAGCCACTAAAAGGTTAATGTCGCTGGGGAGCCAAGCCAAAGAGCACGCCGGGAACTGCGGTCGCTGCTCCAGCGTCTGCTGGGAAGTGTAGTTCCTCAGGCAGAGAGGCAGAGGTCTTCGGGGTGGGGGTCCCCGAGCTGGGGACTAAGGGGTGTGGGAAAGGCTTTGGCTAGGAGGTGGTGCCAGCGGGATCTGAGGTCAGGTCCGAGATCCCGCGTCGCAGATGTCTCTGTGGCTGGGGAAGTCACCAGGCCAATGACAGGGTCGGCACACCCAGCATGAAACAGCAGTTACTGTCACTTGCAGAGGCGCCTACAGATGTGCGCAGGGAATGGCAGGTGTGCGACAAATGCAGGCCCTGGGGACTTGATGGTGGCCCTATGTATCAATGCACAGCCAGGCATAACATATAAACAGAAATATCATCACCACCTGCAGGCGGGAAGTGCAGCCGAGCAACAAAAAATAAGCGCCCAGAGGCAGAACACAACATCCGATGGTTCTGCGGGGGAGGCTGCGGCGGTATGTGGGCTGAGACCTCAGAAGGAGCCGGCAAAGAGTGGGTGAGACAACGTGCCAGGTGGGAGGGACTACCAGTGCAAAGGAGGAAGGAAAGCGACTAGCCCTGTGAAAGAAGGCCTGTAGCTTGGAGTGCTGGGAGGTGATGACAGACACACAGGCCAGGTCAAGTCAGGTCAGGCCTCAGGAGGCCTCTGCAAGGAGTTTGCATGCTAGCCTAAGTGAGCCTGACCCATAGCCACGATGTGCCCCCTTCATCTATTCTTTTTTTTTTTTTAGATTTTTTAAATTGGGGAATTGGGGGAAGGGGTAGACAAGTTGCTGTCCTTTTTGTTCTTCAGTCTAGTTGTGGAGGACGATGATTCACTGGCCCAAGTTGGGACCATCATTGCACTCTTCCCGGGCGAGGCAGATCAGTTGTCCGCTTCTGGACGGCTGCTCACTGCAGCTACTGGCTACACACGGTAGCCCATGGCAACCCACTGCCACAGGGGCTGCAGCCTACGCCTTCGCCAGCGACTCGTGGCAGCCCAGCTCCAGGTTGAGCTGTTGTTCAGCATCTTAGCTGTGGAGGGCAGTGTCACTGGCCCTCATATGTGGGAATTGAACCGGGCCCTCTGGTGTCCCAAACCAGCTCTTAACCAATGCGCCACTCGGCTGGCCCCTATTAATTCATTTTGATAGAAGTATTTTAGGTAGACAAATTACGATTTCATTCCTAATACTTCAGCATGCATCTCTAAAAACCAACTTCCTACAAAGCCACAATACCTTTATCACACCTAATAAGCAATAACTTTTTTTAATGAGTTTCAGGTGTACAAAACAACAGTGATCAGATATTTATATACCTAACAAAGTGGTAACTCCAGTGAGTCTGTTACCTACCTGACACTGCAGTTATTACATTACTATTACATTCCTGTACTTTATATCCCCATGACTATTTGTTTAATTATAGCTGACATTCAATATCATATTAGTTTCAGGAGTAAACAATAACTTCTTAATATCATCTAACACATAGCCCACATTCAAATTTCCCTAATTGACCCCAAAATGTCATTTACAGCTGTTTGTTCAAGGCAGAGTCCAATCAAGGATTATATGTCTCTTTATAATCATTTTTAATCTAGATGGAATCACCCTCCCCATGGCCCCACCCACCTCACCCTCTTCTTTCGGTTTCCACAATACTGACCTTTCTGAAGAGTCCAAGCCAGCTGTCCTCTGAGATGCCCATCACATTCTGAATTTGTTGGAAAGTTTCCTCAGGTGTCATTAGCTTGTTCCTGTCTAGTTTTTCCTGCACACCGGGAGTCAGAGCTAAAAGACTGGCTACATATACTCAAGGATGCTCTTAGATGCCGCCCTGCACTGCAAATTGCATCACAACAGGTGGCACCCACCATCTGGTTGTCCCACTTCAGTGAGGCTAAAATTGATCACGGGTGAGGTTGTGACAGCCAGACCTCTGTTGTAAAGGTATGTTTTACACCTTCTGATCCCTAACTAATTAATCTGTGGAGTGACTTGTTTTGTTGCTTTTTGTTTAAATTAAGGTAAAATTTACATACAGTAAAATTCACCCTTTTTAGAGTATGAGTTTCAACATATATCACTACAATCAAGAGATAACACACGTCCATCACCCCCCAAACTTGCCCATGCACCTTCGTAATCAACACTTCCACCCTACCTCCTGGTAACACTGGTTACCAGGTTTCTATCCCTCCAGTTTTTGCCTTCTCCATGATATCATACAAATGGCACCCTTATGTAGCCTTTTGAGTCTGGTGTTTTTTTAAAAATATTTTTCAATTATAGTTGATGTACATGGAACCTGGTTTCTGGGTTTTTTTTTTTAAGATTTTATTGGGGAATTGGGGGAGGGGAACAGATAAGTTGCTGTCTTCCGGTTCTTCAGTCTAGTTGTGAAGTTGCTTCACTTGCCCATGTGATATTATCATTGTGCTCTTCCCGGGTGAGGCAGATCGGTCGCCAGTCACTGGACGGCTGCTCACAGCGGCTCTTGGAAGCTCACATCGGCTGCCGGCTGCTCACGGTAGCCCACTGTAGCCTATGCATTGCCAGCAACTCATGGCAGCCCAGCTCCAGGTCGAGCTGTTGTTCACCATCTTAGCTGTAGAGGGCGCAGCGTCACTGGTCCTAATGTGGGATCCAAACCGGGGCCCTCCTGCTCAGAGCTGGCATTCCAGGCCAACTCTTAACCAACACGCCACTCAGCCTGCCGGAGTCCAGTTTCTTTCTCTTAGCATATAATGCATGTGAGATCCATCCAGGCCATTATGTTTATCAGTTCATCCCTTCTTACTGATAAGTTGTGTCCCACTGTGGGTGCACAAGTGTGTTACCCACTTACCGACCAAGGGGCCTGGGATTCTTTATGTGAGGTGATTGTTTAGCATCACACAAATACCCAGTTTCACTGGGAGTCACAAAATGGTTATTTTCTAATTGTCATTCCTTCTACATTGTTTGGGATTTTTCTGTGAAGAATTTTACATCATTGACTAGGGCTATTTGATGATCCTGAAATACTAAAAGGACAGGATAAATTCTGAATTCCTTCCCTTTAGTGATCAATTTTCAGACTAAGAATTCGGTGCAATAACAACATCCAATGGTGACAAATTAGGATAAGGGTGGTGGGGGGGGGTGGAGGCAGAGGCTTTTTTATGGACTCTGGATTTTTTTACATTCAACATCTTTAAATTCGTTGCAGCCTTTTTCTCTCCACACACCCCTACCCCCTTCATTTACTGAAAGAGTACTTTATTAGGCATTGGAGATATACAAACATAGAAACAGTTCCCATCCTTAAACTCAGGCTGGTAAAAAAGGCAAATGAGTGAATACAACATGACAATGCAATGTTACAGTAACAATGAGAGAAGTGTCTGTGATAACTCAGAAGAGGCAATGCCACCTGGCCACGCCAGAAGGGGCAGAGCTCATGTTATACGTCTGGTGAGACCTAGAACTTTCATTGTGACTCTTCTATCTGCCACTTGTTTTACTTCGTTTTTGTTTTCTTTTTCTTGTCCTCCTGTGGGCTACCTGGACATTTTTTAGAATTCCAGTTTGACTTATCTAAATTGTTTTGAATGTGTTACATTGTATAGCCTTTGAAGTGGTCCCTCTACCTACAGCAAGGTCCTCAAATAAACATTTTGTACAATGTCGTTATAACACTGATGACATGCTGTAGGAACTTAATTCTTGTTTATATCAATTAGCCTGTATTAAAATTGGATTCATTATATGTCATTTTAGTTCAAATCGCAGACCCTATCAACAACACTGAAGACTTGCTTATATTACATTATACACGTATGCTTGTCACAGTTCACTAGTGTCGACATTTCGTCAACTTGAGTGAAGTGTATAAACCTTAGCCCCCTTTACCCTCTCCTGTTTATAACCTTAAATATTTCCTCTACATACCTTGAGAACCACATTCAACAGTGTTATAAGGTTTGCTTCAACTGTTTAACATAATTTAAAATATTCGAGAGAAGGAAAGTCTACTGTATCCATATTTTTACTCTTTCCAAGATTCCTTCTTTTATCATTTCCTTTCTGTTTAGAGATCCTCCCTTCACCTTTGTATTTTGGGGTTAGGTCTGCTGGTAACAAAGTATATTAGTTATCTTTTATCTGAGAATATCTTGATTTCCACATTTATTCTGAGGTAATTTTCCCTGACCACAGAATTCCGAGGTGACACTTTTCTTTCAGGGCCTAAAAAATGCTCTTCTTCTTCCTTCTGGCCTCTGAGGTTTCTGATGAGGAAGCCACTGTTAGTCAAATTGTTTCCCCCTCTCGGCAAGGTGTTGTTTTTCTCTTGCTGTTCTCAAGACTTTTTCTTTAGTTTTCAAAAGTTTGATTATGATATAACTTGGCATGGATTTCTTTGGGTTTAACCTGTGTGGGGTCCATTCTGTTTTTTGATTCTGTAAGTTTGTCTTTTCCCATATTTGGGAGTTTTCTTAGCCATTATTTCTGTCAATACTTTTTCTGTCCCACCTTCTTTCTCTTCATGTTCTGGGACTCTGTGGTGACACAAATATTAATCTTTTGTTATAGTCCTACAGGTCCCCAAGGATCTCTTTCATTGGGTGTTTGTTTTCCAAGCTATTTTCTCTGTTGTTCAGTCTGGGTAATGTTTATTGACGCTTCTGCTGTAAGTCCATCCACTGAGATTTTTACTTTGGTTATTGTAGCTTTCAGTTCTGAAATTTCTATCTGGTTCTTTATATCTTTTATTTCTTTGCTGAGACTTAAAGGATTTTTATGATGGCTGCTTTAAAATCCTTGGCATTGAATTCCAACATCTGAGTCGTCTTGGTGTTGGTGTCAGTTGTCTCTCATTTAGGTTGAGATTTTCTTGGTTCTTGGCATGATTTTTTTTTGTTTTAAGATTTTACTGGAGAATTGGAGAAGGGAACAGAATTGAGGAATCAGGGAAGGGGAACAGACAAGTTGCTGTCCTTTTTGTTCTTAAGTCTAGTTGTGGAGGACATCGTTTCACTGGCCCATGTTGGTATATTATCATTGCACTCTTCCCAGGTGAGGCAGTCGCTCGCCAGCCATTGGGCGGCGGTTCACGGCAGCTCATGGCAGCTGCCAGCCACTCATGGTAGCTTACAGGAGCCCACTGCAGCTTCACTGCAGCCTACACTGTCGCCAGCAACTCACAGCAGCCCAGCTCTAGGTCGAGCTGTTGTTCACCATCTTAGCTATAGAGGGCACAGCGTCACTGGCCCACATGTAGAATCTGAACCAGTGCCCTACTGCTCAGAGCTCAGAGATTGGGCTCCCAAGCCAACTCTTAACCAACGAGCCACTCAGCTGGCCCTGGTATAATTTTTTTTTAATTGAATCCTGGACATTTTGGATATTATGAGGCTCTGGATCTTAACCGCCTCTTCTGGCAGGTCTCCTCTGACACAGTGCCAGTGGGGAGGGGGCACCACCTCCTTACTGCCTGATGGGAGTTAAGCCTCTGCAGGCAGCTGGAAGAGGGGCCACACTCCATGTGTGTGGCTGGAGCGCAGCTGTCACTGTGCACTCTGTCTTGCCAGACCTCCCCTTTCCTGGGCCTTTGGCTAGAGAGCAGGCTTTTGATGGGGCTTCATCTGTGCTGGTGTTTCCAGGGGGCTGGCTTCTCTAGCCTAGCGCATAAAGCAAGAAGGAAATCTAAGGCCTACTTTGCTGTGTTGTTCTTCAGGTCCTGAGTATCCTAGCTAGTCTGTCTTCTCTTCTACCTGTCAGTCTTCTTATTATGTGTTTAATACAGTGTCCAAGGACTTTAGGTGAACATAGTGGGAGGAATATGGAAAAGCACATCTGCTCCATGTTTCCAGAAGCAGAAGGCACAAATACAGTCCTTATCTTTTTGATACTTAAATTGTCCAGTCTCTGGTCAGGGGGACAAGCTGGCTCCCTCTGATATAGCTCACTGTTCTCTGATTGCTTCTCTGTACCCTCAAGATGTTCTAGGCTCACCTTGCGTTCTCACCACCCCAGCCCTGGACTCAGTTTCTTCTCCAAGGAGCCCTGGTTGGTCTAAGTCAGTCCTGGGAGGCCATCTGTCTTAGCTCAGGCTGCTATAACAAAATACCACAGACTGGGGCTTCAACAACAGACATCTATTTCTCATGGTTCCATGATTCTTGGAAGTCCAAGATCAAGCAGCTGGAGGATTCAGTCCTCCCCTGCCTTGTCGACAACTGTTTTCTTGCTGTGTTCTCATGTGTACATGCTTCTTCTTATAAGGGCGCTGATCCCATCATGAGGGCCCCACTCTCTTGACATCATCTCACCCCAGTCACCTCCCAAAGCCCTCACCTCCTAACACCATCTCATTGGGAGTTAGGGCTTCAACATATGAATTTGGAGGGACACATTCAGTCCATAGCCCCATTTCTCTTGCCAACGAGTGGTTCGGGCATGGGCCCTTCTCTCTTCCTAAAGAGGAGGGCAGGAGGACAAGGGCTGTCTTCTTTCTTTACTTGGGGCCTCTGGCTTTGGGGCCACCACTTGCTCTAAGGACAAGGCCACACACAGAGGGCAGAGCCAAGAGCATCACAGCACTGGAAACTAGAACCCTGACTTTCCCATTTACAGAGAGGCTGTTCCATTTCGGTCCTCCATCTGCCTCACCCCTGACTTACCTCAGTCAGCAGTTGAAAAGAGAAAACGAGTGATGGGCCAGGAAGGTCTGTAAGTTACTTGGTCTCTCTCACAAAAACCTTTGATCTGAACCTAAAAGAAACCTAGCACACACTCCTTTCCACTTCAGTTTATTCTTCCTGCTCAGGAAAACCACCACCAAGTGTCTTTCATGGGGGAGGGAAGGCAATACTGGGAAAGTCCTCAGGGGCCCTATGCTGAACTCTTAGGTGGGAACCTGGAGATACAGGAGGCCAAGCCCCCAGGGTCCTGAAGAGACATTCAGAGGGCAGCGACTCAACACAGGGCAGCTCCACACAGCCCCAGATGCTCTTCTTCTCAGCCCAGGGAGCTCATCAGGGTCTGGGCCTGCTTGAGTTCTGCAGGGGAAGAGGTAGGCAGGTGGGCAGGAGGCAGGTGAAACCTGGGAGGGCCCTGGACCCCTACAGGTTTACGAGCCTTACCTGTCAGGAGGACCTGGAGCTTGTCTGCTGAGAGGGACATGACAACGGGCTGGGCCAGGGTCCCGGGGGCAGCTGCCACCTCTAGCCGCAGGTGTACCATGGGCTCGTCCACAGACCGCAGCAGGCTGGAGCTCAGAGTGTAGTCTACCCGCCAGCCTACGCCAGCCAGCCTATTCACTGTGATATGGGGTGGGGCTCTCAGGCCCAGGGAGTCGCACCAGGCAGCCCCAAGCCTCCAAGGCTATGTGGCCTTTGGGAGCTCTTCTCTCTCACCTCTGACCCAGGACTCAAATTACCCACAGCAGGTCCCAGAGAAAAGAAATGGGGCTGGAGTCAGCAGTCCTGGCTCTGACATGTGACCAGGGGTGACTTGTGCGGACAAGTGCCTCCCCTGCTACATGGCCTTCTAGAATGGAGCCAAGCCCACCGTGGCATGCTCCACACTCACCGCGCAGGCTGTCGGCCCGTAGGTACTCCTGCAGCGGGCTTTGCTTCTCCTCATAACAGCGACACAGGCTGGCCGCATGCTCTGGGGCAGGATGAAGGGGGCTGGGCCACTCAGATGGCAGGCCTCAGGCTCCCAGCCCGCGGTCCTGCGGCCACCCACCCGCCTGCCCGTGTCCCTACCTTTGGGCAGCCCTAGCTGCTGCAGTTCACTGGACAAGGACTCGCCGTCCACGCTGTGCTTGGCCGCACTGGACAGGATAAAGCTCAGCACTGCAACTGTGGCCTTCACATCGCCCGCCTCTGGGGGGACCCATGGCCGGTTAGGGGTATCACTGTGGCTCGAGCCATCTCCTTGTTGCCCTACTATCTTCAGTTCAGTCCCCAGGCCTCCCTGAGCCACGAGCACTGCTGCTGCTGGCGGAGGGCACTGGGGCAGGACTGCCAACACCTTTCTCCTCCTCAGGGTTCTCTACTGAGGCAGGTGGGTCAGGGCGGGTTGCTGGGAGGATGGGCCTCTGTGCCAGCCCCAGGCCGAGTACACAGAGTGGCCCAAAGGTCTGTGGACTCAGTGGGATACTCACCAAACCTGGCATCGGCTGTGAGCTTCAGGACCTTCTCGTACTGTGGGGAAAGGCAGTCCTCAGGGGGTGCCAGACCCCTGCTCGCTAGCCACCCCCACCCCCCAAGCCTGGACCCTGTGGTTAGGATGGGGGTTATCCAGGCAGGGCTGGAGGCTTATCACTTCCTGGGGCTGGTGCTCTTTCAGGGCAGGGGGGAGGGGTCATGGGGTCGGGGGACAGTGGGGTGCTGGGCCAGGCACTCACGTCAATCCCCTGTCCCAGAAGCTCCTTCAGCACCTGGCTACACAGCAGCCTCAGCTTCACAGAGGACTGGAGGGGAAGGCCTTGCATCAGCCAAACTGGCCCACCTCACCCCTCCATGCTGGGGGGCTGGCTCAGAGAGGGCCAGCCACGTGACTAGTTACACAGCATGCTATGATGGGCTGAGAGCGCTGAGGCCCAGACCCCGGTGACCTCACCACCCTCCATTCCCAGGCCCTCCACCCGCTTCCCCCAAGAGGACCCTGTGCACTCAACAATCTTGGCAAGCGTGCTGATCTCCGCCAGGACCCAGTCAGGACAGTCCAGATCACCACAGAACCGGAACCTCTGCATGGGAGAGAGGCAGGTAGGTAGTCAGGCTGGGGGGGACGAGGTGTGCCAGGTGTCCCCCACATTACTGCTCCCCAAGGACCCCACTTTCTATCCAAGATGGATGCCCTCTGGCTACTTGTTCTCCCTGACCACCAGGCTATTTAGAGAACCCTCTCCCTCACCCAAGTCTAGTTCTGTCTGATGCCTACCCCAGGCACTGATCTGCTCAGCAAACATCGACTGGGTGCCTCTCTATGACAAATCCCACTGAAGTGCCAGGGTACAGCACAGAACCAAACAAAGGCCCTGGCCTTACCACCAGTGACCTCTCTCCCCTCCTTTCCCTGCCTGGCTCCAGCCACCATGGCCTCCCTGCTGTTCCTCAGTGACACCAGGCACATTCCCGCCACCGTCCCTGGCTTGCTTGCTCTCTCTCAGTTCACTCAGGTCTCTGCTCAAACGACACCTCTTCCGAGGGGCCTTCTGTGCCCACACACAAGGGGCCTTCTCTGCCTCTCACATATGGAAATTTCAGGGCCAGTGGATATGTTCCTTGCTGAGGCTGCTGTGTAGCCAGGTGCTGAAGGAGCTTCTGGGACAGTGGATATCTTGATCCTGGTAATGTTTTCATGAGCACATACATGTCAAAACTTATTGAACATTTACATACGTGTGGTTCTCAATAAAGTGATTAAAAAAATGAAATTGCTCTTTACCATCATGTTCTAGCCCCTTCTTTCTTGATCTCCACAGCAGTTATCACCGCATATATCACATTTTATTATTTATGTGAGTGAGGTCTGTCTTTTCTATTAGAATGCAGACCCACCCTGTCAACCACATCTTGCCAATGTCCTGCATTGCCCTGATCAGCTGCCCTTTGTCCTGTTTGCCTGGCAAGAGTAACCCACAGTAATGCATATGTCCACCTTTCTACACCTCCACTTGGGCTGCTTCCAGATGCTGGGCACAAACCCTGCCAACAGAGGGTTCCACAAATCCTTGTCCTCTTGATTCAGCTGGGCCCTCAGTGGAGCTTGGTAACTCCATGTCCTCTACCTGGCCCCGCCGTTCACCTTATCCGCCACTAGACCTGTCCCACGGCCCTTCCACCTCCAACCCTCCTGCTTCTTTCTACCCCCTGATCACACCTGATTCCACTGCTAGGGCTTCTACATGGGCCTCCACTGAAGTCCTCTAGCCACAGTCCCAAATAACTACCATCACTAAATCCAGTCTCCCCTTCCTTAGCCCAGCAGCGTCTGACATGCACCCATCCTTCCTGAAGCAGCATACTCTTCTAGACTGCTCCCTCTGGCCTGGCCTCGGTCTCAATGGCTGGCTCACCCTCCTTTCCCAGCCCCCAGGGGTGATCTCTGCACACAGCCTGCTGTTGTTACTCTGGGACAGTGGACTGGGACTGCTGGTGAGGTGATAGAGTGTTCAGGACAGTCTTGCATTTCTTTCTCTATTTCAAGGGTTTTTAACCTTTTTGTGCCATGGATTCATGTGGCATCTGGTGAAGCCTCTAGGCCTTTCTCAATGATTTTACATGCATAAAATACATAGGACTGAAAAAGAAAAGTTATCAAAATCTTCAAAACAAATTGGTGATATGGTATGTTTCAAGTCTAACAACCATAGTAATTTAGAAATGATGAGCATAAACATTACATACACAATGCCAACAGTTGTGATGTGAGATGACAATATCTCTGATGTCTATTAGTGACAAAGTCATAGGTGCTGCTAATAATACTGGGGTTTGTTGCTGGCATTCATAATTAAAAGAAATCCTGAACTTCAGTTTGAAATTTAGTGAAAATTAAGATGTATAATTTTTCCTAAGTTCATGGGCCCCTGACTTCTGCCATCTCTGTATTATTTACATTTTTTATCACAAGAACGAGTTCCTTGTGTAATTTCTCAAAATGCTGGCATTTCTCTAGGCTCTGTCTTAGGCCCTCTCTTCCCAATTCACATTTTTGTTGAGACATGTTATATTTTTAGGGTTTGATGATCATCTTTGTGCTGATGACTTCCAAACTTATAATTGCCATTGTAGAGTCTCTCCTGAGCTCCAGAGCCTTAAATCTGGACCTAAGGCTGCACCTGGCAGCTCAGACACTTCACTCTGCATGCATCAAAGTAACTGGTGCTTTTCCCACTGAAACCTGCTCCCCCTGCTGGGTTTCCCACCCCTACCCAGCACCACCACCAGGGAACCAAACCCAGACACCGCCCTCTCTTTTTCCTTCATGCATTTAGTCCCTGAGCCCTGCTGACTCTAATTCTTTTTCCACTCTCTCCACCCTACCTCAGGTCACCACCATCTCCTGGGAGCCTGCTGCCCCAGTGTGGGCTCTCTGCTGCCCTCTAGTTCCCTCCACAAATCAACCAAAAGGATCAGCTTCCCAGTGCCCCTTTTCTTAAAGTCCAAACTCCTTTACATGGCTCTCAAGACCCAGCAAGCTTTGGTCTTTGCTTACATGTCCAGCCTCATCTTTCACTAACCTCCAGCTATATTCTTCCAGCTAGGGGAGATGTGGCCATTTCCAGGGGCCATGCTCTCTATCCCCTGAAGTCCCTGAACATGCTATTCCATCTTAAGATGTAGCCCCACCCTCCACCCTCCATGCCTCCTAACCCCTGCTACACAAACTGCACTGCAGAGCCAGCTTTCTTCCCTGCTCCCAGACCGGCAGGAAGCCTTCCTAACACTGCTCAAAGGCAGCTAGGTCCCTTCCCCTCAAGTCTTAACTATGACTTCCAAACGAAGCCTCCAACTTTGCCCTTCCCTCCTGCACCTGAAGTCCCAGTGCCAGAACAGTGCACGGTGAACAGCAGGCACTCAAAATCTGTTGAAGGAGTGAACGGATGGATGAGTTGGGAGGTTCCAACCCAAAACCTACTCCTCTGGCTCCGGGAAAAGAGAGGAGTTTCTTAACAGTGAAAAATTAGACTATGTCTAATTCTAAGCAAGTTCTTGTCCAAGTCCCACAGGAAGACTGAGAAGTAGGCACCTCTGAGAGGTCCTCTTGGGACCGGGCAAGGCCTGGAAGGACTCCCGCTCTGAACGAGCCCCCGTTTGTGCCCAGCGGGGCGGGGGCCCCTCCTTCGTGCCAAGGAAGCGCCCGGACTCCCAGCCGGCCGCCTGCCCTGCCTACCCGGCTGGGGGTGGGTGACGGGCCCTTTTCTGCCCCAGCCCCTAGGCCCCCGCACGACTACACCAACAGTGTTTGCCGAGGGGCCAGAGAGGCCTCCCCTCTCCTCGCACCCGCGCCCCACCCTTCTGCAGGGACAGTGACGATATCTGGGGGTCCTGCCTGGCCTGCCCGCCCAGCACCCCCGGGCTCGCATCCCCTTCCTCGGCCCTCACCATCGCGCCAGGAAGCCCGGCCTGGGACTGTCTCCTTCCTGTCGCACCGGGTCAGCTGAGACGGCGACCACGTGACGCCAACGCAAGGCCTCCTCGGGCGGGGGCGGGGCCTCCTCGGGCTGGGCGGGTCACGGCGGTAAGCCACGGGGCGAAATGCCAGAGGTCCTTCTCGGTCTCCCCAGAAACCCTCCCCGGAAATGACCGGCGCCAACCGGTTTAACCGAGGGACCCAAAGCAGTAGAAAATAGGGAGCGGAAGCCATTTAATCTGTTCTAGTTAAGGGAGCCGGAGCCCCGAAGCCAGACCTGGCACTTAACAGCAGCAATGCTCTTAGGAGGGGCGCTTGGGTCATTTTCACGATCTCCACCGCTAAGCTAAACCCATATATAGAGCTGTGGTAAAAGCCATAGTTTTAAAACGTAATTGAAATACAATACACATACAGAGAATTGTACATATTGTAAGTATAAAGCTTAATGAATTTTCATAAACTGTACACCCCATGTCACCGGCACCCATGAAAGGAAACATCTTCAAAGTGCCTGGGTATTTCTTTTTCATTTTGATGAACCCCCTTAGTTGCCTGGAAAAGAGGATGGTAACAATTGGCATGCTCAGGAGCACTCTTTCACTACTGCTTCACCAACATTAGATGTTTTATCTTAATTTTTCCCAATCTAATGGGAGAAAAATATGTTATAAACTGCATTAGTTTGCTTACTGGTGAGCTTGAATAAAAAGATGGTCTAGGAAAACTGTTTCCAATATTCACTTGAAGAGGTAAACAAAAGAAAGCAAAACAAACAGCAACAACACACATACAAAAGAGAATGGATTAATAATCAAACAAGAAATTGAACAGTTTGAGATCGCTCTTCAATGCCATGTCCCACCCCTCGGTACACCAGGCCCAGCTGGTTTGATTGTTGGAGGCTTCCAAGGTTACAAAGGACAGATAAGGCCCATGACAATCCAACTGCTCCATAAATAGAAAGATGTGGAAAGCTTTCCAATTCATGCTAAAATTGATTTCATTTATAAAGAGCTTTTACAAAGTCATAAACATTATGCTGAAGTCAACGGTGTGTTAAAATACTACACTGTCAAAGATGTTATTTTAAGAATATAAGAATGGTTCAACTTCTGTTTTACCTTATCAGTAGGTTAAAGAAGAAAACAGGTGATATAATTGGAAAACCACTTTTTATTGAAAAAGAGAAAAAAGAAAAATTAGGAATAGATGAAAACTTCCTTAAGTTGATAGAATATCTGAGAAACAAAACAGCAAAGAGAAAACTTTAACATCTGACAGTCTCATGATTTAAATTTGGAAATAAGACAAAAAGATGGGTGGCATGTTCTTTTAGTGTCATAGTGGAGTGTTGTCTGGTATTTGTTTTGCAAATAGATTACTTGACTATTTAGAGAAGTGGTTCTCAAATATTACAGTGTGTCAGAGTCACTGGATGGGCTGTTAGAACAGAGCACTGGGCCCCATTCCTACAGTTTCTATTATCAATAAATAGGCCTGGAGCGGGGTGGAGCTGAAAATGTGCATTTCCAACATATTCCCCAGTGATGCTGATGCTTCCAGTTGGGGGACAATACTTTGAAAACCACTAGTGTAGGAAAATGTTAACTTACAGATTTCTGTTCAGTAGAAAAGATAACCCCAAAGATCATCATTTTGTTGCTCTATAGGACATTAACGAGTTTTGTCTGTAATTCACACATTTCAAATGCCTTCCCAAGTGCAATATAAATACTTTTTCTCAAAAAGTTCCTTGAACCAGCTTTACCACTGTGGACTGAAAAGGGGCCACAGGTGAAACCTGACAAGCTCAGGAGACTGAAAATAACCACAGAGGATGGTGTGAACATAAAAATTCCTAACTAAGGTGGGCCATGGCGGGAAATCATATCCTTAGCCTGTAGCTTCCTTCACAAAGGTCAATCTTTACCTTAAGTGAGCCTGTCTGTTATCTTTTTGCATCTAAGATAACATTCCCTTGGAATGTCAGAGTAATCTCTTTTTCCAGATGTCCCACAACGCAGCACAACCCACCACACCAGAGCAGGAATCCACAAAATCCCTCATTGTTATCTTGTTCCCCAAATATTATCTCTAAAATTGCTATTAACTATCCCTGTATCCACCAATGTAAAAGAAGTGTGTCTCTCCATTTTACTTTTTATCCAATCCCAGAGATTTCCCCGCTTTGCTTTCTCCCACCCCGTTAATCTACAACCAATGGATTTCATGTAACCGTCCTCCTTTGATTCTAATGTATAAAATAAATTGCATAATGGCCATTTTCCGGAGCATTTTCTCAATCCCTTGAGACTTTGCTTCCCAGCAATTGTCTTAAGTTTGGCTCAAATAAACTCATAAGCTTTCTGTTAGGCTGGATGTTTTTCATTGACACCACTTCATTGTTTCCTTATTAATTAAATAAAATATTTGACACACATTCCTTCATATTTTGTATGAAAGTCATGTATTTCACTTTTTGGAAATTAAACTTTGATATAGTATGCTATGTTAACCTAAAAACAAAAGGCCAAAGTGAGAGGCAAGCTCTTATTTGAGATTAAAAAAGAACAGCTATTCTGGAATCCCTGACTCAGGCAGAAGCCCACAGAGTGTTCCTGTTAGGAGACACAGGCTAGGGGTATTTATGAGAAAGGGAAGGGGAACAATGACTTCATTAGAAGGGAGGCATTTCTATTGGTGCAGATAAGCTGACATAGCGATGCTAATTCCAAACAATGTTTTTAATTTTCAGTTCCATAATCATCAGTCTGGTAGTCATAATATTTGCTTTGTTGTGATCCCTGCAAACAGTTCTTTGAGATATAACATTCCTTTAGGCCCAGTCCAAAGGTTATTACTTTGCCCTTTTGGGGGCTAAAAATAATTATGACTCTTCTTGCCACCTTTTAAGTTCTTTTAGCTGGTCTAATGATCAAGTTAACAGAGGAAAATTAACAGGAGAAAAATCAAAGTGTTAATACATGCTCATGGGGAATTCACATAAGCATGAAAATTCCAATCAGGCAACACTGGGTATACATGACATTTTTGGACAAAGGAGAAGGAGGGGGATGGGGTATTAGATTTCAGAAGTGAGAATGGGCGATTTACAGGTAGCTGAGAAGAGGGGAAAACACATGGCAGGAAAATTCTTGCCACACTCAGAAACAGTGGGATTCAGGGGGTGTCTGTCTAACAGACTTGGAGTCTTCCTGACTAGTGCTGGGGTGAAGATTCTTTTTTTTTAAAAAGATTTTATTGGGGAATTTGGGGGAGGGGAACAGCGTTGGGGAATCCGGGAAGGGGAACAGACAAGTTGCTGTCCTTTTGTTCTTCAGTCTAGTTGTGGAGGACGTTGCTTCACTGGCCCATGTTGGTATGATCATTGTGCTCTTTCCTGGTGAGGCAATCAGTCGCCGGTCGTTGGTCGGCCACTGGTCATTGGTTGGCCGCTCACAGTGGCTCCCGGCAGCTCATGCTGGCTGCCAGCCACTCACGGTAGCTTATGGCAGCCCACTGCAGCCCCGCTGCAGCCTATGCAGTTGCCGGTGACTCACAGCAGCCCAGCTCCAAGTTGAGCTGTTGTTTATCATCTTAGCTATAGAGGGCAAGAGTCACTGGCCCTCAATGTGGGATCTGAACTGCAGCCCTGCTGCTCAGAGCTGGCGCTCCCAAGAGAGCTCTTAACCAGCTGAGCCACTTGGCCAGCCCAAGGGGTGAAGATTCTTAAGGTGATTAAGCCAAGGCTCCTTTCCTACTGCATGCTTTTCTGTCTGAATCTCTTGGGCAGGAAAAAGGGGAGGGTCAAAGGTTCTTTCTGAGCCTTGTTTAAACAGCTTAAAATCAATACCCCAATAAAGCAGCTTCAGGGTGGAAAACTTTTGGTTCCCATCACCTTGTTTTAACATTTCAAAGGTTTGAGGCATAAGACATGCAAGGCAGTTCCTCTGAGATGGCAGCTCCAGTTCCATTTTAAAGTGGCTCTGTTTATTATTTTTTACATGAGTATAGTAGCCCTGGACAGCAGTATATAGACACTAGTATACTTTGTCACTAGGGTTATTCCCATTAAAGTCAGGAGCAGTAATGTGCAATCATTACTATGATCCAGTATTGTTCTAGAACAGCGGTTCTCCACCTGTGGGTCGTGACCCCTTTGGGGGTCGAACGACCCTTTCACAGGGGTCGCCTAAGACCATTGGAAAATAAAAAGATATTTACATTATGATTCATAACAGTAGCAAAATTACAGTTATAGAGTAGCAACGAAAATAATTTTATGGTTGGGGGTCACCACAACATGAGGAACTGTATTAAGGGATCGTGGCATTAGGAAGGTTGAGAACCGCTGTTATAGAAGTTCTTAGGCCAGCAACTCTCAACTGATGGGGAATATTGCCTCCCAGGGGATATTGGGCAATATCTTTAGTTGTCACAGCTGGAATTTAGAGGCAGAGGCCAGGGATGCTGCTAAACCTCCTAAAGTGCACAGGACAATCTCCATAACAATGAACCATCCAGCCAAAAATGTCAATAGTGCTACTATTGAGAAACTCTATTCTAAACAGATAAGCATCGTTAGCATAAATGTTGCAAAATGATAAACTAGTGTAGGCGAAAAAAACATCCAGCCTAAGAGAAAGCTTATGAGTTTATTTGAGCCAAACTGACGACAATTGCTGGGAGGCAAAATCTCAACGGATAGAGAAAATGCTCCACAAAATGGCAGTTTGCAGCTTATTTTATACATAGAATCAAAGGAGGAGGGTTACATGAAATCTATTGGTGATAGATTAAGGGAGTGGGAGAAAGCAAAGTAGGGAAATCTCTGGGATTGGATAAAAGTGAATTGGAAAGACAGGTACTTCTTTCACATAGGTGGGTGCAGGATAGTTAATAGTTCACATAGAGATGTTGTTACGGGCCAGGCGAGTAGCCCCCACCGCTGAAAAACTTTTAAGTTTTCTTTCATATAAAAATGTTAAGTATCCTTCTCCCTAGTTTCTTAATTCCTTACCCCTGGCTTTGATTACTCTTCTAATCAGTTTCTGAATCC